ACAGAAAAAAAATCAGCACTGTTCCGGAAGGACATAAACCTTGCTGTCACGTGAGCAAAACCAAAAAGCGTAAAAGAATAAAAACTTTCAAAGATACAATATACTACTGACAGACACCCTTGCAGCTAAGTATAACACATAAAATCATCATATAATAAATATGAACACAAAAAATTATTAAACACATAGGACTACTTCGGTTAAATTCCAACCTTATCCTGAAATGAAAGCAATAACACCAATCACGTTGGTATACATTATTTGTAAATATTTCCAATTCTATTAGCATTCCCTCGCGTCTTCACCCACGTCTTATTGCTGTAAGAGTAAAGTTAACCGAGAAACTCGTGCGTGAAAAATCGTGCCATGGGGTCTGGATAAATTTTCTTTTTAGCCAAACACTTTCTACTTTTGGATATTTTATGTACAATACTAAGTTTCGAAAACAATCGTTTTTTGTGGTAAAGGGGGCAAACAAACAGTTGGCTCACCTAACGTTAAATGACATTCAAACAAAAGAACTAATAGAACCCTATCAGTAGGCAAATATGCATGCACTCACACTACACTTAAAGTCTTATACGCATAAAAATTAGTGGTGTGACGACTCGACTTTTTAAACCGAGTTGAGCATGAACCGAGTTGAATTGGTTTGTCTGTACTTTAAACCGATTGAGCCGTGTCATTAGATCGCGATGCACTTCGCACTTCAAACAAAACTGATTTATCTAACAACTGATTCTGAACCGAATCGACGCGACACGATACTAAATCTTTATCAATTTACCTACAAGCACAAACAATATTATTATGTGCCTACAAAATCGTACAGTAATAATTTAATACATAAACCGATTAACTACCGTTCGGATCTAACAGACATATTTTTCTTATATCCACCAAATGAGAAAAGAGCAGGCATGGTAATCGTGTTACTTGACTGCGTAGTTTGTTGTATTGCCTGTAGCTCTTAACAACTACCGATCAAATCATACCGTTACCGCGTCGGTTGTGTAGGTAATGTCAAGTTTTACACTTGTAAGTAAACTCGGTTGCAAACCGTTGGCAAACCGTAAAACGACGGTTTAATTGACCTCGTCGAATCATGTTACACATTGCTTCCGTATGTTACATTCGCTAGTCAACCTATCATACGGTTCAAACCGCGGTTTACTGCAATTTCGACTCTTGTACGTATGCCGCACAGAGTCATAAGCCTTTTCATAATCTATCGAACTATGTTGCCAGATCTTTTCGGTTACGGCGAACTTGTTGGTTAATAGTTTTGTCAATAATATGGAGCTCTTTAGTGCCACGTGCCCCACCTCTACATCCATTCTGAGAGTGAGACATGATAGAGTTGTTCGTAATATGATATGTTATCTCCCCTTTAGAATGAACGTTAGTAATTTATATAATGTCGGAAGACACGTTATGGGTCTATAAGTTTTGGGATCCGTTGCACTACCAGACTTATAGAGTATGTAGGCGAGTTACTCCCGTAATCATAAAAGATGGAAGTGAACCTGATTATAGGCATGATTGAAAATGAGATGCCAAACGTACATGTGAGCTACGGAGCCATTTTAACTAAAAGTTGTGCAGTCCGTCCGGTCCCGTTGACTGCCGATTCGGTAGCGAACGAACTGCATAAGCTATATCAATGTCTGAAATGGATACTGGCTCCATTGTATTGATTGACTGACATGGTCGTTTGACATCTCGCATCCATTCACCATCTGTGTGTGATAGGCATCGACCATATGTTACGCCAAAATGTATTAATTATTTATCATCTGGGAAATGTCCACCACTCACTAAATCAGGCTGCTCCCACCTTCTATAAACCCACCTCTCGTCCCTTTAAAATGTGCGATTCTGAATATATCAGTCCACTCTTTTTTGTACCTTCGTATACGGTTTGCCCATGCATAAACCTGTTTCAGAAAGTCAATGCGCTCTGTGACTCGTGGCATATAATCACAGGACCTGATACCGGTTCCCAGAGATCCGATTTACAAAGCGCATTACTCTCGGACCTGTGTAGCCCGATCTGAAACGGATAAGCTTGCCAATGAGTACCCTTGCCTCTGCAAGAGACCTAAGTCTCTGGTGCCACGTGCCAGTTGAGGAGACGTGTCAATTCTTGGGAATTTGACACCAGCTACTCGACATGCAGTAATGGCAACTCAATACAGAATTGCGTGTGTATTACAGAGGTTTTCACATTGTTCAAAATATGTCGGTAATATAGAATCAAGGGCACACACTAGCGCTTTATTTTGCTTATGCATCGGCAAACGAGGTAAACATGGTCTGTTTACAAAATTCATAGACCTAAATTCCAGGATAGCACCTTCCAAAGTATTCCTTATTATATCATTGTAAGGGGTACTTACAGAAGAAGCATTAATTTTCTCTCGTTCAGCAGGAGAAGCCTGTAGTAATTCAAGATCTTGATGTGTAGCTGCTTGTAAAGAAGGAAAAGTAGTAAGGCTTATCTGTAAGTCGGAGCGTAGTCTTTCAAGTACAGAGCTATCCAACAAATTACATCGCTTAATAGCTCGCACTTGATCCGATAATCTTTGTTCCGAAACGTTAACAGTTGGTTCTTGGTTAAGTTCCTGAAACAGAGTTAATAAACGATTACGAAACGCAGTGAGATTAGTTTCTCCCTCTGTAGCCACAAAATATGCTCGCATGACATTCTCGTTGATTGAAGAAGTCCATTTCATGCGACACACATTACCACCGATAGCGGGGACCCTATTCGAAGCCGATGGGCCTCGGGATCCCAGACAAGTCGGTGGCCGGCTTCTCCCCTGCCAACGTACAGGTGTTGGCGACGTCGCCTAGTCGGCAGTGTGAAAAACACGTCGCTTGACGTCGAGCTCGGGGACGGCAAGACGAAGCGAAGCGACGAGTCCGGGGATGTTCTCTCTTGTTATCATCTTGCAATGGAATTTCTCACATGAAAAACATCTTGTTGTGTCTTGAGATAACGTTAGACGTAATGCCTTACCATAACGTGTTTTTATTCTATTTTCATAAGAAGGATTCATTTTATTATTGTTTAATTTCTTTTAATGGTATTGCGGTGTTGTAAATATATTCATTATTATTATTACCGCCGCTCTCATGGACACCTGCAGCTCAAGTGTAACAAGTGCGTTGCCAACCTTTATTCCCTTTCAGAATCAGGGCAAAGCGGAATTTGGGCTCCGATAACCTGCGCAAGAACTTTATAAACTAATACGTTGAAAAACCAGCCAGTTTTTTTTTCGATCTGAACATTTTTAGCTTGTACTATTTAACAAACTTCAACTGACACACTCCATAATAAGTGACACAAATATTTGTTTTTCTTATTCATTTGATGCCATGTTTCAGAATACTCTGATAAATCACTGAATAATCAATCTGATTCACAATAAAATTGGCACGATAAGCAGTTATATTATACTCTATAGTTTGTGTACTCTATACTGAATCATTTTATTTTTTTAAATCCTTAATACAAAGTTTCATGACAGCATTTTAAAATATATTCTCTAGCTATCAGTATCTACACAGAGTACCTGAGATCCCCTGGGGATTCGATTCCATTCATTTATTTATTTTCCTGACGGCATTAACATATAACAATAACTAAAACGTATTTAGGTACTTATATAACATTGACCACTCGGTCTCTCATGTTGATGTGATGTTAGAGTTCGAAATAAGAAATCACATTTCGTGTTAAGTAGTAGAATCGAAAACTGTAACTAAAATAAGTTAATATGTGTTTATGTTACACATTTAAATAGTAATATTCCATCTAAGTCTTCTCAGACTAATTCGCTATGTCCTGTTGTAATTTACCTTCACCACCTACCTAGTGGTTTGTACATCAAACACGGTTTAACATTTAACCAATTCAAACTATATACTACTTAATTATAACTGATTTGTATCTATCAATTAGTATGCCACTTGATACCACTGGATATTAAGAATTAAATGATTTGCCATTACAATTATTTTGTAATTTCATTAACGAATATTGTCTTGTGTATCATGTTCAGCCATTCTGACAAACTTCCCTCTATTTTATTTATCCATTTTTTCACGTACACTTCAGATAATTGTGGTATCGGCATCTTACTAGGTTCTCTTTTCTCAAAAAAGGGGCACGCAGACTCAAACTTCCACATCTCGCATTTTATAAAATTCTTAGACAAATTTGAGCAATTCCAAGAACTTCGTTCTTGTTCTGAAACAATACCAAAAATGGTATTCGTTAATGTGATTTCACTTTTAAGTAACCGATTGAATTCTCAGAAATTTTCTACATCATTTCAAATAACTTCCAAATGTCAACTATAGTACTAGAGTTAAATTTTGACACGAAGTTAGGTTAATTTATATCGAAGTTTATTCGCACTTGATTTCCAATTTATTTTTTACATAATTAGTTTGTTAGTAAAAGATTTAGAATTGGGAACGTTTAAGTTAGACCTTTGGTGTTACGAGTGTCTGTCTACAGGCCAACACTTTCAACACTTTCGCCAATTAATGAACGTTTTATATATTATCTATGTGTTTTATCTAATATCTAATATGTTATCTAATATGTACGTATTAATTTATCGCTAACAGACACTAACATAATTGTTATTCGTAAGACGAAAGATGAAGTTTTAATTTAATTATTAATCGTTAAAAGTTGGTTAACTAAATTAACATTCTCGTCTTGAATATTAATCACAATGCGCATAATGAATGAGCTAATTTCATTTGTTTTACGATTTAATGAGTGACCGTTGAGAAGAAAGAGCAGCAAAGATATTCCAAAACCAGTTAAGTTTAAACATCAATCAATTTTTGCAGGTTTTGATGAAGATGCAAAGAAGTCCTTTAAAGTCATTTACCTATCATTATTAGGATTTTAACTTAGATTAGGTACTTTATAAATTGATAAAAACTTTTGTATGCTTTCTCTTTAATATCAATTATGGATGCGGTTAGTTTAGATTTCAGTCATACCTATTTCTGAAATGAGTTTGCAAATCAGTGTAACTATCGGGCACCGGGCTATCACTAACACGTATATTAATTTACATAAGGGACTGTTTTACTACTGTTGTAAATCTTAAAAAAATATGTAATAATATACCTAACTCATACCTTCTGAAGTCATTTCGGTAGATTCCTCGACTTCAGTCGTTTCGTTACTTGCATCGGAGTCACATTCGGTTGTTATCGGCAAAACCCTTGCAATTTATCGTAAGAATAAGTATTAATAGAAATAAGGTTTTATCCGTAATGATTTCATTAGTAAAGCACAACGTTTAAACTAAGGTTATTGATTCCTAGCTATATATTCAATAAAAACACTTGTGTAAATGTTGATAACACGCTTTTGTTAGCTTAGTATGTACGTACGTACGTATGTATGTAACGGAAGCGTCGAACGTGATTTAGACCCACTTCAAAATGTCGAATTAAATTGAAACTTCGCACACTTATCAAAGACCGATGACAATACAATAATTCGATAAATTTGGCTGATTAACCTGATCAGAATCTTCAGCCATCTTTATCCATAGCTAAAAATACGGTATTGACTTTTGCAACATACCAAGGAGCATATTTTAAAAGACGTCTCAAGTATCGGTTGAACTCTGATTATCTGAAATCAGTTTTAAGTTCAGATTAAAAGTTGATCTCATTATAGAACGCGTTTAAGTTTCACTCAAGCAGCAACAGCCTGTAAGTTCAAATCAATATTTGAACTTACAGGCTGTTCTCAATTACATTTCCGCACGATCGACATTATTCTTCTATATTACGCCGATAATTACTGTAAAAAAATCGTAAAACACGTTCATTTCCCCTAAATTGCTCTAGAAATTACTGCTTGAGACTTGTTTTAGCTTGTCTCATGTAAACAAAGATCACACATGTCAAATTCTATAGGTACTTGAGTAAAATATTCTTGAGTAAAACATCGCTTAAAATAAGCTACCCCTTGAGTATGGATCGGTGAATCTCGTTTTAAGTGTAGTTCAATGATAAAATGTATTTAAAATCAGTTGTAAGACTAAACATAGGCAATACTGAGACACATATGTAACTTATTAACTTGTTACTTAGTCTTAATGAGCAAATAAAAAAGCAGAAATAAATTATAGTTTAAAGAAAGTAAACAACAAGCTTTTGTAACTAGCCGAACTGAAAAGTAGAAAATAATTTTCTATAAGTTCAAAAAAATAATCATTTTATCGTGGGGTGCTTTTCAAGATATCCTGTAATATAATTACTTTACTTTTACCAATATCTGTTAATAAAATATTTTTACAACAATGGTAAAATGATTTATCTTTTTGTTTAAACTAAGGTTATTGATTCCTTGCTAAAAACACTTGTCTGCATATTATTTTTACTTATGACGCTCTACTAAATAATAAACCAACAAAGGTAACCACCTTATGTGATCGAAGCCGGTGACTTACTATTTCTTTTACTTATTCATTTAGTACATAAAAAATCAAGTGAGTTACAGCATTCTACGTTAATTATCTATGAATATTTTCTAGGTATTATTATATACATGTCTATGTCGTGTAAAACGCGTGATTCCTGAAAACCTGACTTTGACCAATAGAAAGCAAAAATATTAAAAAGTACATCTATGACGACCCAACGCACAATGCACCGTGAAGGATCTATAGGGATAAATCTTTTTGGCCGATGCCACTCCACTTCCATGTTCAGGTAAATTTTATGGGTATCTAAGGGGTTTTTTACTAAAAAATATGATCTCACATTAATTTGTGGGTGTAATATTACATTATTAGAACCTAGAAAGGTAATAAAATAATCCCAAAAATTAACAACAAAATGTGACTCTGAATCTTTTATTAATTTTTTTTTTCCGTGCGGAAATCCTCTCGGATAACACCTATCGGTGGCATGTCGGACTCGAACCGATTAAAACCGCACGCCGTCTCGGGTACTAATAGCCGGGGAACCAGGTATACCCTAGAAAGGAAGTCCCTGGTGCCCCGACATACCTCGGGTCATCTGCAACATGTAGACGACACCCCCTGTGTGGGAACCCCATGTTCCCTCTGCTCCCTGGAAAGCGAGCGCGCTTCGCAACGCGCTCGCCGCCACCCCGGCCTGCGCTTATGGAGGATGGAGGTCGTTCTGTGACCTCCGGCGCCTGAGTCGCCTGCGGTACCTGGCCCGTACCCGGGCCTGGCGCCCCGGGAGAGTTCTAATCCTCTCCCGGTCCCGCTCCGCCGTCTCCTTCGCGAGCATATCTTGCTCGCAGAAGGAGACGGCAGAGTTCCACGCACTCTCGCTCCGCACGATAGCTGCAATCAGGCTATCGAGCGAGAGATCTCCCACTCCGATGGCCGCCACGAGGGCTCTATTACTACATCTGTCGTAACGTAATCACGATCCACAATTGTTTACCTTTCTTCTTACTTACAGATCAAAAAGTACCTACCTAATTTAAATGACCTACTTCATGTGTGGTTGTCACTTTAACCAAAACAACCACCTAAGAAATAAACAAGTTTTTATTTTATTTAACTCCATAGTTTTATTATTACACATAATTTGTTTCAGATGTCGCACACTACGTACTCCTGGGAACATCCTGGTGGCCAATCTCGCTCTCAGCGACTTTTTAATGCTTTCCAAAACACCGATATTCATTTTCAATTCCTTTAATCTTGGACCAGCACTAGGAAAAACCGGTAAGTTGTTTTAAAAAAGTTTTAAATATTATTATATATGATCACGTTATTAATACACGTATGTTAAAATATGAAGCAAGCACGGAGGCAAGTATGTAAATTTTAATACGATTGATTTTTTAATACCCAGACGAAGCGAAATAATTGCAACAAACAATCGTTACAGAACAAAAGTCACTAAAGATATAAGACAAATATGATCGAGAGCTTCTCCATTTTTCAATGTTATTATCACGTTATGAGATGACCTACTTTACTTTTCACAAAAGAAAGAAAAGAATATTATAGATGAGAGTTCTCCCTTTGTGAAGATACATCTTGCCTTCGACGATTTGAAATGACAGTTCGAATATTGACTTTCTTTATTGATTACTTTTTTTGAATAATTCGCGTATCAACAATATAACAGAAGGAAGAAACCTTCGACAGACGAAGGGTGGTTTCCATTTGCCTGTGTTATAACTTGGCCTTGCACCATGTCGATTGTTAAGCTTAAACCTAATAAAATAAAATTTCCATTGATTCAGGCAATGAAAAACTATTTTTTAAAGTCGATGTCAAAGGCAAGGCTATTTTGTCAGTCTACTGCTTATAGCTACATTCTCCGTACTGATGTGCAAGAGAGAGACGTCGTAATTCATACGAACTCATACGAGTATATTTCGACCTTCGTTATAGGGCCGATGCAAATTTATCGGTGTCGGGTGTACAAAATCAATCGGAAGTACGGACCTTTCGGAACCGAAGTCGAAGATCCGTAACATCCCTATTCCATACAACAATTCAAAATAATAATATGTACCTACCATAAGAAGAAAATACATAGTTTCCAGAAGAGTAGGTAATATTATTTATACTTGTAACTTGTGATAATATATTGTTACAGGTTGCGTGATTTACGGGTTCATAGGGGGTCTGACAGGAACCACATCAATCGCAACATTATCAGCAATTGCGCTGGACCGCTACTGGGCTGTCGTTCGACCGCTGGAACCGTTAAGAGCTTTGACAGCAATACGGGCTCGTTTGTTAGCTATCGGTGCCTGGATATATGCCTGCATTTTTTCTATTATACCTGCATTGAACATTGGATATGGACAATATGTTCCTGAAGGCTGTTTAACCAGTTGTAGTTTTGACTACTTAACTGAAGATTTTTCTCCTCGCTTATTCATTTTTATATTTTTCTGTGCGGCTTGGCTAGCGCCTTTTTGTACGATATCATTCTGTTACATAAGTATATTTCGAGTTGTTGTATGTAACAGAAATATGCCTTCAAATAACCAAGAACAAAGATTATCTTCGAGACATGTTAAAGAACGCACAAAACGAAAAGCAGAAATCAAATTAGCTTTCCTTGTGATGGCTGTTATCGCATTATTCTTTATATCTTGGACACCATACGCTGTAGTTGCCTTATTGGGCATAACAGGTCGAAAAGAACTCCTTACGCCAATTACATCGATGGTACCGGCATTATTTTGTAAAACTGCAGCCTGTATAAATCCATTCATTTATGTTATAACGCATCCAAAATTTCGTAAGGAGTTTAAAAAAATGATATGCGGGAATAAATCGAAACATAGAACCGGTACTATTAAAACGATCGGTTATAGCACGGACGTAACAAAAATTCACAGACCAAGTAAAGATTTGAGCGACACAGACGTCGAAGTCGTCGAAATGAAAGATATTCCTTATCAAACTCAGGAGAAAAGTGGCGGCAGGATGCAGACGATCTCTGCAAAGGTAGCAGAACGCCAGGACTCCCTAAATAGTATTAGCATGAAGAGTTTTGAAGAAAGTGTTGTAAGCCCCCCTTCATGGTATTGCAAACCCCAGTTTGCTAAAAAGAAAAGTTTCCGCCAACATTCTACGCGCAGTAATATATCACAAAATACTGATCTCACAGGATAAATATGGTCTATCTTGTCTACATTAAATATTAAAATAATAAAAAACCTATAAGGTACTAATATTTTTATCACAAAGAACCTTTTGATTAGGTACTTATTATATATCTAAGAACCTACTTGTTACTAGTCACTTCTGTGAGAATAAAGCGAATCTATTTTTTGTACTAAGTATTGCGTAGTAGGCTCTTAAGAATATTGTTTGGTAAGTAGATGAAAATGTATTAGTGGATAACATAATTTGGTGTAACGAAAAGAAACCATTTTGATTCTGAATTAAAGCCCCCATCAAAATGATGTCAAGATCTTATTACTAAGGTATTTAAAGAAACAAACCAAAGATTAGATTTTTATTTAATTATATTTCAATTATATTTATGTAAATATGAATGTATTGGATTGGTCTATCTATGGTCGTATATGCCATCGAATGCTGTATGGTGTATAAAATGTTACGATTATCTCACAATTTTTCACGCCTGTGAATTAAAATATAGATAAAAAGGAAACACTCAAATAAAAGTTCTCTCTCTAATAAAAATTCGTTTAAAATTCAATTCCAATGTACTCTTGATCTCACAAATGTCATAAAAGGTATTCTCGTAGTAAAGTATTATATATTTAACGTTGACTGTAATGTGATTATGTCGTACTGTGATCTAAAGTTGAATGGTTATTCTGCTAATCTTAGTAATACTTTAATTGGGATAACCGGGATAATACGCCGTGATTGAGGGTGGGGGAGTTTTAGCTTCCCCGGGATAGGGCCTGGTTAGGCGTGGTGTCTATTCGGGGTGGACCTGAAGTCACGTGGTCCGGGTCCTCAAAGAGTAGGGCGCCTGAGGCCGGCCGTTGGGGTGGTTTTTAGTGGAATCACCAGATACTCCTGCGCCCTCAAGGAGCAGGAGATCGAAAGGGATATTTCAACCTGTCAACAAAAAATAACTAGCAGAATACCGATTCAATTTCCGGTCACAAAACCAAGTAATCACATAGCAGTCAACGTTGAATGTTTAATATTTTACAAATAATTTTTATTAAGAGAATTGTCCGGCTGTTCTTCTCCCCCAAGTAGGTAAGCTCATTATTTACACTATGCTACAACGAACTCTCACCGAGCCACCGCCATAAGAGCGCCTTTCCTTACGACTTACAATATATAAGAGTCACACGTACAAATAAAAAACGGATTAAAACTATTTTATATTATATATTCATTTTACGTTCAAATTTCAATAAACATACGATGGGTTTCAGTCGGACCTTTTTGTAAGCGGTCACAGTTAACTATGCGGTACTCTAACGTGTGAAGAGAACAAGCCCTGCCATTTTCAATACTCAAATTCTTATACTTATGTTCTACAATGTATTTTATGGTAAACTAATGTTAGACTGAATGATCTAAGATCTAAAACTGGTAAACAGTGAACAGATAGGAGACTGGTTTCGAACAATTAAATGTGAAAATAATCTTTTAATTTAAAAGCTTACTTAAAGTTTAATTTTAGTGTTTCTTATGAGGAAGTGCTCTTTTAAAATCAACAGCAATCTCCGTCATGTGACGGTCCCATCTACCCTGATACCTTTCCTCCATCAATACGACGAAACTACCAATGAAAGTACTCTTACTATTGCTGTACCGAATTAAAGAAGTGCTATTTGTTGACAAGTTATCGGCTGCGGTTTTTCCGGACCGATACGACCTTCAAACTTTCAAGAAAAGAGCGTACTCCTTTCTCAAAGGCTGGCAACGCGCTTGTGACTCCTGAGTTGCAGGCGTTCATGGGCGGCGGTAGTTGATTTCCATCAGGTGACCCGTCTGCTCGTTTGCCCCCTATTCCATAAAAAAAAACAGCACAATACACCGGCAAGCTTCACTAAGAATCACGGACATTTTGCTCCTTGCTCCACGAATAACTAAAATATGTAAGAATCTAAATTCAACTTCTTCTTCCTCCGAGTCTTTTTCTCAAACTAGGTTGGGGTCGTCTTTAAGTCTATTACGTTACGGCTGAACTTTGATTTTTTACGCGTAGCGACTACCATCTGACCTCCACATACTTGAGTTGTGGAGGTCAGATGGTAGTCGCTACGCGAGGTGATATCGAAATTCTGTAAAAAGACTGTTGTCGGACTTTTGAGGGCTCTAACTACCCACAATGATTGCGACAGATGTTCGTATAGCCACCGAGGCCGACGGCTTAACATAATCCCCGAAGCTCCAAGGGGACTTAATATGTTAAGAATGTTCACCCATCGATAGACTGTCCTGATTAGGATTGCTTTGAAATGTGTTAACCTACTCGGCTACCCCTCAAGAGAAACTAAATGTATCTAATAAAATAAAAAATTGGCATCACACTAGATATTACCTCAAATGCTCATCGCTTAATCTGGTCAATTGGCTGAGTTCTCGAGCAGAGTTTATGAAGTAAATGATTTAGTAATGTAAGTATAATATCAATCACATTAATATAAAACGTACTAAAACTATAGAAACCAGCGCCAATTCAGTACTTTTATGTGTGCTTGAAAAAAAAAGACCGCCTCTGATATCCAGAGCAGCAAAATTGTATCTTTTTTATTAAGAGGTATTATTATTATAAAACTCACTGTGTAGTTTTAAAAGTATAAAAATGTTACATTAAATTCATTTTGTTTTCTTTCTCATTCCTTACTGCCTCCTTACTTTATCAGTATCTTATGAACCTAATATGTGGATAATTAGAGTCCCTTTATACGCAATACCATCACTTTAATCTGTACAGATTTGTAAATACTATATCAAAAGGTATTATTACGTATACATATGAGAGAATAAAGTATGTAGTTAACTTAACCCTATCTACAATCTTTAGTTTATTATCTTTAAAGTTACGTTGACAGGCGGAATAAACTTAACCTTACAAACCACTTCTACTGACACAAACCTAGATATATATATGTTACCGGCAATCTGTATAATACGGTATTCTATACAATACTTAGGCAATATATAGAATACCCAAGGCGTCTAGGCAATGTATGAAATATTTTTCATTTTATACTTTTGCCTAGGCATTCTATACAATACCGAATGCGCTGCCGGCAATGGGTGTAAAAGACGATTAAAATTCTTCTGGGTTATTTCAATGTTATTTAATTGTGATTTAACTATAAATACCTACTTTTGAATAAAAATTGTTTTTAATCAGAACTAACTACCTAAGTACTTACTAATTGTTAATTTTAATAAAGTTGATTTTAAGCAAATCTAATGTGTTATTTTTGTCTGTCATTTTATACCCTCCCCACTTACTTACTTACATAACATTTATAAATACAGGTCCAAATATAGTTATTTTAAACATTGCCGGTGGATCAACAGGTACTCGATACAATACCTAGGAATTGTATACATTACCTAGATAAAGTACATAATGAAAAATAATATTCATAATATTTCATACATTGCCTAGACGCCTTAGATATTCTATACATTACCGAGGTATTGTATAGAATACCTGAATTATACAGATTGCCGGTACCATATATATACATATAAATGTAGCATTAAGTAGATCTCGTTACGTTACATCATCTGACAGACGCTGTAAGATGTGAAAGACAGCAGACACTCCAGAGCGAGACACTAAATACGAGTATAGCCATGGCAAGATCAGTTTTTTTTTCAAATGGGACTAATCCCTCCCATTCGCCCACCACTGTAACCAGAGGCAAATCAAGTATCAAGAGCGCTCTAGGCAAACATCTCAGCAAGTAGCCTCACCTGTCACCCCACGTCTCTGCTCCACCCACGACACGCCGCCATATGATGGTGTGTCTAGCGCTTAGTTGCCAAAGTCTTTCCCTCCACTTCTTTACCCGGACCCTTACCGGGTTCTCATGGAATTGTGATTTCTTGTCCTCGGCTCGATGTCGATGCAAATGACCCCTACTATGAGACTGGATGCCTCAGGTGGCCCCCTCCGAAGATTATGAAAGAACAAGGCCTCAGATTTGAAGATGCAGAGACACCTCGAGTGTCGTCCGCGTAGCACGTGACGGTGACACCAGTTGCACCTGCCCTTTAAAAGCGCGAGCACGACCTTCCGGGGATAAACTCTCATTTAGAAGATGTCTGCCACACGAGAACGTCACCACCTCGCGATAGGCCTTTGTGGTGAGTGGAAGGAAACACCCGTCCACTTGATACCACACTCATTGCGGCATGAGGCGCTGGAAGGCGCTAGCCATGGAGCGTGTAACGGCTGGTAGCGAGAACGTGAAGCCTCCAGCCGGGACGCCCAACGAGTCATCGTAGCTCGGCAAGCGGCCTTTAGCCTTTAAATCTCATGGAAGAGATCCACCACCACCCTTAAGGGTTAGCATTGCACCCTCTAAGGCGCGCCTTATTCTGGGCGATCAGAGCTTCCGCCCAAACCTTTGCATCGTGTAGTACCATTGATTGGCTAACCCTGGTCTATTACTACAACTTATAGAGTAATCTCAACTACAACTGTAGTTGTAGCAACTGCATTTTTGTGTACACGCACTAGCCGCAATCTTCAATCTCAAGGTATGGTATGGTAAAATACTACTATATATTAATAAAACTTATATTTTTATTTGCTACAAAATTCTGCGCGGGCGCCCCTTTGTTACTTCGGTCCCTAGACATATACCTACTGTGCCTTAATCCGCCACTGACTGTAACTCCTGTACACCAGGATCTACAGCAGTGAGAGACCCACGAACACACTGAATTATGACACTCGGAAAGTTCCATGAAAACGAACTGCTTTACAGCAGCTTTGCTTACTAGTGTATTGAAGACAGTGATGACTCTCAAGTGTTCTCTCTCAATCATTGCGCTTCAAATTTTAATGTCTCAAGTGTAGCTACTACCAAAGCGGCTGTCATATTAGTGACGAGTTTGACTAGAGTGTTAAACGCTCGAGTGTATAGCGACATAAGAGAAGTTAAGACTAGAAAGTTGACTAGAACCTATGTGAGACGTACCATACCTGCACGGTAGGTATGGTACGTCGCTTGTATAATAATATAAGTTCACCCATGCCCGTACCCGGGTACCCAACATTGGAACAGTTTATGAATAGAGATAATACAGCTGTTGAATTAGGCTTAAAATGAAAACTTTTGTAGGTAAGCTTTTTTATACAAAAAATAATTTGTGACTAATACAACAATAGGAACAAAAAAACTACTAAGGTTTGTACCTGTACTATCTTATTATTATAAAACTATTCGTCTTATTGTTTGTGTATTGTAATATATTAATATATTGCTATGATTTTTATTTTTATTTTTTTAAAAAGACAACTCCCGCATTAGGAATTAGTACATTCTGTATAGCGGGAGACTTTACAAACATACTATGAAATAATGCGTTGCGTTTTTTTCTTTGCGGTTGCGACGGTTGCGACGACTGCGATAGATTTCAGTTTTTTAGATTATCTCATATTTTGTAAGTGGCTACGCTGATCTACTTACTCTCTAATATCATAAATCCTAAAGGAGTTATTCAGAAATGCTTGAAAAATTAAAGAAGCGATGAACCAAATATTTTTGGACAGCCATCCTAAGAACTAATATTATAATTTATAAAATGAAATTTTAAATTACTTCAATTTTGAGAAAACATCATTTTTACTTTTTGGCATATTGTTAGGCCGAATATGAACAAAACTTTTGCCAAATAAAAAATTAAAATGACAAGTTTAACAACTGTCTCTGACGTGTCACGCGTGACATATGGATATGGATGTCGAATATATTTACTTTGAGTTTGCTATAAAGAATTGTAAAATTTCTACAAATGTGAAGAAAATTCTTAAGACTACTATTGATTTAACTTGTGAATAAACAATAATAGATGGTATATTTAGTATTGCCATCCTCCAATAAAAATATCGACTAACATAAAACAACTTCTATTTTTCTATTAAATGCAAGCTTTAAAAATTGTTATCTAACTAATCCCCAATGCCTAATTGGAATTCCCCGTGAAATTTGAGCTATAATGGATTTTACTCAAAAATAAAAAAAAACTGTCCAAACAAAATGTGGACATATTTTTTCTGCCTTAAGGTTGGTAGCACCTATGAACTATGAAATGTCAACAAAATGTCAATGTCTGCAGTTGGCAGCAATGGTTTTGATAAATAACCTCAAAAATTGTTTTTTAAAATTATTTTTACGGCAAAAATGTTGTACTTATGTAGCAACTAAACATTATTCGACAAATAAAAGATATAAACTTCTCTTTTTTGGATCAGACGAAATAGCCTTAAGCAGTTTAAGAAAAGTAAACGAATTCAGGTGATTTACTCGTTATTTAATCGTATCATGTATTAAAGTAATATTTATTTATTTAGAAACAGTATATATGACTAAATAATTATTTTCGCATGTTATAGAAAGAAGGAACACAGTGTTATTGAGTGCCTCGATTTGGTTACTACCGAATCCAAACACAAAACGGACATAATAAAATATGCACAATCTGAAAATATAAGGACTATATCATGGCCTTTACAAGATTTGTACTCCGCAGAATACGATTTAGGACTTATTGTGGCTTTTGGACACCTGATTAAAGAAGATCTTCTCAACAAATTCCCCTTGTAAGTTCCATAACTTAGAATTATCCCCATATTTATTAACTATCCCTTGAGAATATTAATCAATATTTATTTATATTGAAAATCATACCAATTAATATCCTTCAGATATAATTGGTTCATTATTTGGACATGTTATTGTTTATATCATCTTAGGAGACTCAAAAACAAAATCATTTAACTTAATTAGTAGGTTACTGGACATTATTGCTACAGTTCAATCATTTTTCTTTAGCTATTTTTATGTAAATAACTACAATATTTGACTTAATCTCATATCACAAGAGATATGAAATATAGCTTACATTTTTTGCAGTTCTACTTCTCTTCTTCTTCTTCTTGATTCTCAAGATTATACAAAAGAACTTATTTACTGTATATTATTATGTACATATGTATAAGTCATAAAGTTAATATATTTGTATACTCTTACTCACTCACTTCCTATTTCATTTTACCACACATAAAATACTTATTACATTTTTCCTTTCTTTATGAGTAAATTGAATTTTTTTGACTTGCTAATGCAGCATTTCAGTCAAAAAAATTAGAGCATATTAACATTAATGTATTTAATTTAATTCTATTAACATACTGATAGCATAGATGTGAACTGAACATATCTAAACTTTAAGTTGGAGTCTCTCAGGATAGAAGGTTATTAGCGTGACATTGTTCTGAATAGTTGGGTCTTTGTGTCCAATAATCATGTTTCTTTTGTAACATTGCGTGTAACACATAGTAGCAGAGAACCTTATAGGTTTCTTACTCTGTGGGATAAATTAATCTATAGGCACCACAACAAAATATTCTATTCAGTTATAACTTATATATATATGTATATGATGATTGATGTGCTAATCTACCAGTATCCTAATTTACTTGTATAAAACAGAATACTTTGGAATCTTTATTTGAAGTAACAAATAAAAAATCCAAATTATGATGAAACTGATTTTTTCCAGAGGAATGGTGAATGTTCATCCAAGCCTTTTGCCGCAATGGCGAGGTGCTGCACCTATCATTCACACTCTATTACATGGAGACTCAATTAGTGGTGTCACATTGATGAAGATTAAAGCAGATATATTTGATGTGGGTAAGTATATATTTATGATTTCGAGACGATAAAGCCTATTGTTAAGACCACCAATTGTATATAACATACCTAAATATTAAATATTTTACTAATTATTTTAGCCCAGCAGTCCTGTACAGAATCCTCCTCCTTTTTCCACTTAAAAATTGTCTAAATTTAGAAATCTGTTGGGACATGGTCCGGTGTGTGTGGTGGCAAGTACAAGCTCTCTCCATCATCCACAGTAACCACCACAACTCTTGTAGCTTTGCGCGGGTCTGTCCTGAAGAGCGACTGACCAATCGTCTCCATCATTGTTTGCAATTCTTGGTACATCGGCCGTCACTGTTGTGCCACTCGGTAAGAAGCTGTGATATACAAGTCTGGCACTGGTCCACCAGTGCCAGACTTGTATATCACAGCCTGGCCATACCTGGTGGACAGTAACCATCATCTTCCTATGGCAAATTTTTTTTTAGCGCCCTGTTAAGGAGCTGTCCCCGAGCCACCCACTGAGGAACGTATACGGTTATCGTAAAGGATCTACTTTTTATCGCTAGTAACAATTCGATTCAGGATTACCGCATTTCTATGCCGATTCAGTAGTAATATGCATGCTTCGACAGTCGTTGACAGTCGCTTAGTTCGTGAGGCACCCACTTATCTAGCTTTTTATCTTTCCAATTTGACGCAAGTGCTTCAATGTTGTTTCTCAAGCGAGATTATTTTCTCGTATTTCCAGGAACTCATATTCGAAAATTTTAAAAAAATTCAGTTTATCCATGTCGCCAAAAACTACTAGAATTTTACAAAAATAAAACTATCAACAACAAATGACTGAATTTTAAATTAAAATAACGTGCGCCAATCCTCAGATAATTGAATCTGAAAATGCTGATTTTAAAAATAATCTAACCTAACCTATTATCATTTCATTTGATAAAGAACCAAAATTTGCTTCAAAAACCTAAAGATGTATTAGCACAGGTTTTTTTTTATATTACTCTTATACAGTTAAAGTAGACCCATATTTTAAACATTAATCTCCGTCAATACTAATTATAATATTATAATCAAGCTAAGAATGTGCGATGGGGAGATGGCCTTTCTGATGCCTATAGATTATATTGTGGGGTAAGGCAGGTGGGATTGACCTCTCCAAAGTTATTTAACTTGTATATGAACGAGCTGATCATTGAGCTCAGTGGTAGATGTGTCGGATCTTGGATAGATAATATTTGTGTGAACAACCTAAGCTACGCCGACGATATGGTCCTACTGGGCCCAACGGCTGGCTCGATCAGACAGTTGCTAGATATTTGTGAGCAATATGCGAAGAATCATGGCCAATTATACAATGTAAAGAAGAGTGTCTGTATGGTGGTCTTCGAGGCATCTGGTGGGAGTGTGCCCCATGATCCACTTATTACACTAGACGGGATGCGTCTCGAAAGAGTCTCTCAATTTAAATACCTGGGGCACATTGTTACCGGAGACCTTAGAGACGATGCAGATATTGAACGTGATCGAAGGTATCTGGCGGTCAGAGGCAACATATTGGTACACAGGATTGTTTAATGTAGTCGAGATGTTAAAATCACGCTCTTTAAAGCATATTGTCAGACACTTTATACGAGCAATTTGTGGGCTAGATATGCCAAGCGATCGCTAGGGACACTTAAGGTACAGTACAATAATTGCTGTAGTATGCTGTTGGGGCTGCCGCGTTCTTGTTGCGCATCTGGTATGTTCGCCACGGATGGAACAAAAGATCTCTATTCAATTATACGTACAAAAACCAACTCGCTGCTTACAAGGATACGGTCTAGTTCCAATGGTATCCTAACCATGCTAAGCAATAAACATGACGCACCCTAGTTGCGTCATGCATTAAGAGTTCTAGTGAGGTCAGGATAATAAATAAATGTTGTTATGTTACTAATATTAGGCTTAAGTAAGTTGTTACTAACACATTGGGCATAGTTGCCATCTAAGAAACGATTATTATACTTCCTGTAACCTCCGCGGCATCACTCTCCTGTGTAAAAAATACCTATATATATTTAACAGAATAACCATACAGTTTTTTATTTATTGCATATATTCCTTTTTTCAGGTGAAATAATAAGTCAAGTAAAAGTGCCAGTATCCAGTGATATAAGGTTACCAGAATTAACGGAAGAGTTATCAGAAATTGGAGCAGACATGTTAGTAGACTGCATACGAACGCTACCCATGAGTTTAATAAATACCCGGCCACAGAGTTCAGTTGGAGTAACGTATGGTAGGTCCACAGTTTAACTGAAGTTTATTATCTTTATATAGTCAAGACTTTCACGTGTAAGCCGTACAGTGGTTGCATATGATGTGTACATCTGACATCTCACCTATCATCTGATGGCGACCTAACATCGAGCGCTCATTGAGATCCTCATGAGAGGAAGCTGTTCCTGTTACATACTTCCGTCCCTTTCCGCGAGATGGCAGGAGATAAGAGATGTACGAATATATATGTTACTTCTAATATACAAGTAGTAGATTAGATGCTGTGTGATTTGAAACAAGCACAAGCATACGTGTAAATACGTCGCAAACGCTTGCCGCAATCTTCCCTTGATCTGTGTTCAAATACCGACACTAATCCCGATTGACGCCGAGCCAAACACCCCATTTACATGCTTATGTTTGTGGACACTTAGGCTTGCCAAGCTTGTAAACGGCCCATAACAATAATAGCTCCACATTATTCCTTATCATGTTCTGTCAAATTTGTATGCCAATACAGGTCATTGGGTAAATATGGTGTGCGTTACCCCAGCAAAATAATGTCGAAAATGGTCATTTAAACGTTATAGATAATTAGTTGCTCCCCTTCTGTAATTGTTAGGCACATTTTTAAATTTGTTTCACTTAAACTTTTTTAGTTATTTCAAAAAAACATTTCCTGCTGGGGTAACGTTTGAAACGTTACCGCAGCCAGACATTTTCTTTTTTAATTGTAATATTGAAATAAATTTTAGCTAAATAATTAGTTATCTGGACTAGGTAAATGTTACAACTTATTTGGTATTTGTATTTTCTTCGGCTGCGAAGTTATTCGAAATCCTGCTGGAGTAACGTTTGTTTGTTTGCTGGATCTCTGAAACGGGTAAGCGGATTATAACCATCTTTTGTACATAACTTCTTAAGGATTAGTTTTAATTTGTTCGACAATAAAATAACAAAAATAATGGACCGTTTAAAAATTATTTAGGTAAGTATGAAAACACTTCAATACGTCCTAACACTTTAAATAAGACCTCTAAAGACTTACTTGAAACGTTATTCTATTGCTTGTAACTACCTTCAAATGTATACGAATTTTCGTAAGAATACTGTAAGTGACTAAAAAGTTATGATGAAATGTAGCTCTCCACGTTCACGATCACAATGTGTGCTTAAGATCAATTAGGAGAAAAAAAACAAAATAAATAATAGGTAATAATAATGAATAAATATTGAATGTATTTAACACTGTACGCAACTGTACCGAAATCGTAAGGTGTATTACACTAAACATTTTAAAAGACAGCGCAATGTACTGGGTGATCGCTTTTTTGTAACCACCTAAACATGGTCGGATTACCGCGGACTTGCACCTTCTAATGACTTTTATTTAATTATCTCGTAAATTATTATATGTACGACGCTGAAATTCTACAGGTAGACAACTGAACTAAACAACTAATTATTGGCATAACATTCAATTTATATATCCACACACAGGTTTATCGGTGGCCAAAAAAGGCCGCACACATTGTGATCGTGAACAGCTACATTTCATCATAACTTTTTAGTCACTTACAGTATTCCTACGAAAATTCGTATACATTTGAAGGTAGTTACAAGCAATAGAATAACGTTTCAAGTAAGTCTTTAGAGGTCTTATTTAAAGTGTTAGGACGTATTGAAGTGTTTTCATACTGACCTAAATAATTTTTAAACGGTCCATTATTTTTGTTATTTTATTGTCGAACAAATTAAAACTAATCCTTAAGAAGTTATGTACAAAAGATGGTTACAATCCGCTTACCCGTTTCAGAGATCCAGCAAACCCACAAACGTTACTCCAGCAGGATCTCGAATAACTTCGCAGCCGAAGAAAATACAAATACCAAATAAGTTGTAACATTTACCTAGTCCAGATAACTAATTATTTAGCTAAAATTTATTTCAATATTACAATTAAAAAAGAAAATGTCTGACTGCGGTAACGTTTCAAACGTTACCCCAGCAGGAAATGTTTTTTTGAAATAACTAAAAAAGTTTAAGTGAAACAAATTTAAAAATGTGCCTAACAATTACAGAAGGGGAGCAACTAATTATCTATAACGTTTAAATGACCATTTTCGACATTATTTTTCTGGGGTAACGGACACGTAAATATGTGTAAATATTATTATAAGTTATTTTCTACTCAACATAACTAACAATAGTAGTTTAGTAGAAGTCCGAATTATCTATCAGGATTCTGCAGTATAATGGTATGTGCGTATTCTCCCAATTTTGCATTACTGATTTATTTACATATTTTAAATGTGAAGTGTTGACAAATTGTTTCTGCTTGTTCCAGCAAAGAAAATAAACAAAAGTATAAGTGTAGTCCGATGGTCTCAAATGACTGCAGCAGAAGTATATAACTTGTACAGAGCGATATACGGACTGTTTCCACTCACCACGAAATTTCAAGGCAAACAAATGAAGCTCTTTGATGCCTTCATCCATAATCCTGACAATGTTGAACTTAAGAATAAACCGATTGGAACTGTAGAGTACTGTGACAGTACAAAAGCAATAAGAATATTATGTAAAGACCTTAGGTATATTTATTTCAGATCACTTAGAATAGTAGGTAAAAGACAAATATCTGCATTAGATTTCTATAACGGTTACATAAAAAATGTTTCATTAGAAAAGAGAGATTTAATAGTTTTTAGAAATCAATAAAATTTAATTTAAAGTATAAATGTTTTTATTCAAAAACCACGCATTACCTAAGTATAACAGGCGTCACTTTTTATTTTTACTAAAGTGAACTAAAAAAATATATCCATTTGTAAAGTACATAAAATATTAATAAAATACATAAAATACAAACAAAAATAAATAAGATACGTATTGGCTATTTTAAATAACTAATAATACAAATAACTATTGTAAAATGTAAATAAATATATAAAAAAATATGTATACTTCAAGTAAAAAAAAATAAAAGTAGGTAGGTGTCTTAAAGATGTAAAATATAACATACAGTGATTTACTTGTACTAATACAATAAATAACAAAAATAGAAGTAAACACTTCTAAAAAAACTTTTACTTATCTATAAAAATATAACTTATTATGCTATTCATGGCTAGGTGGGCAACTTCATCAAATCTTTACCCTGAAAGAAAAAGCAATTTGATAAGTTAAGAACATAGCATTAGATAATGTTCAAATAAGTGCATATAACAACATCCAATATCAAAAATATCAATATTTGCATGCATAAAAATATTTTAGACGAATCAGAAAATGTGTCAACACTCTGTAACTCTGTTCCCGAAAACTTTAAATGGGTACCGTTCATTTGTTCATCATTCAATTTTGTCAGGGATACACCGAAGGACCCTCTGTCCTTAAGTATATACAAATGGCAAATGCCATAATGAAATTTTATATTAATCATAGAAACATTTATGTTATACTGTGGATATTAACTGCTTAGCTAAAAATGTGCTCGATCGTTTACGACCGTCGCGTCGCAATCCCATTTGTAAAAGTAAATCAGAAAACTAGTAACTTTTATATAATTTAATGCATTTCTATGAAAACTGTTTTATCTGATAAATACAAGTTCTGCATTCCTAGCAAATTCAATGTAAATTGTCATACTTACCACTATAAAGTAAATAAGCAATTGCAAACACAAACCTCCTGTGTAAATCAATAATGAAGTTTTCATGTGTGATCATGTGATACCCAGACGGATAGAATTGTGTTAGGATGGGAAAGCTAATGTATGACTGAATTATTAATAATGGTGATACCTGGCCTCTGTTAAGGATAATCGTGACTTAAAGAGCTAGACAAATTTGCTCTGTGTAATACGTCAGTCATGATTCCCTCCTAACCGTAGACAGGCCTATTCATGCTAATACATGGATTTCTAAATAAAATAATACAACTAGTTAGAAAAATGAACTGTATTTAGATAAAACTAATAATTTTAAATACATATAAAATATTTGTAGGTATTATCATAAAAACAGAAGCCTTACATCTTACCTTTATATAATATTAGCAAATACAGCAATAGGACTTTTGTGTTTTTCTAATAATCCGTAGCCTGCAAATAATAATATTATTGTATACCGGCTACCAGTCAGTAAGTACAAAGGCTTCTGTTTTTCTGAGAAATTCTAATGAACTATGACGTACATTTGATTCGAATGACTAATGAGTTGAATTGCATACTTATACATACTACATTCAAAGATATGTACAAAGCTCCTCGTAAGAGTTAAAATATATTTTAACTCTTACGATGAGCTACTTAGACCTATGCAAAATTGTTGCTTGACTACTTTTCTACTCTTCCGTCCATTAATGTCATCAATTAAGTAGTAGAAACTTCATGCTTTGCCATTCGCTATCGAGTTTACACTAGTAATGTTGTTTACACTAACAATAGTGTAAATATCATACTATCGTGAAAGTTGTTACCTTAGAATGAAAAACCTATTCGAATTAAACTCGTTATAGCTTGTTTAAATATATTTCATTTCTTTTTAAAATGTTCGAATCGAACATGAGTATTCGAGTGCATAAAGCTAATTTAATTTATAAGTGCTCCGTAAACAAAAGACTTTCGTGCTCTAAAGAATTGAGGTACATATTTTCCAATTAACGTTTAAAAGTCAATATTTGTATACGAAACTCCCATTTTTTAAATATTAGACATTAACACACTCAAAATCACTGCAAAAATAGATGGTTTTGTCCGTCCGTTTCCAAATGGTTAAGCCTTGTAAGTACGAAATCGAGCGAACAAATAATTGACGAGTGAAAAAGTAAATTATACGCCATACCCCAGGATAAACTGCTAAGATTAAAACTGAGTATATAATTGATTATATGGAAATTAAAGCCATCAATAAGTATCAAATAACTTTCGTACAGAGTGACTGGGCTACCTAAAGATTGCATTAATTCCCGTATATCTGGGATCGCGAAAAAATAGAGACGAGTTATATTACGTTATGAAACAGTATTTCAAATTATACTGCTTCATAGTTTATAAAACAAAAAATTGTACAGACTAGACATAATATGGCTAGGATTTCTTTTATAATTGGATAAGAAATCTCAATGTCTACATATTTCTCAACGGATTCAAGTTTAAAATAAAAGTTCCATCTTTTATTTAGTGATAAATTTTAAATATAATACTTATCTCTTTTTAACTTATACTTAAGTTAACACATTCTCCTAACATTAAAGAAAATGTACCACTCATTTATATTCTATACGAATGAAACAAATGACTCGTGCTCTAAACATTTTAAGTGCATTTTTTTCCAATTAGACATTTCTTTGATAAATCCCTTCTACTGAAATGATTCATTTACGGGGAGCATAAACCTGCCGTCATCATACTGATAGCGGGCACTAAATGAGCAAAGTAGAAAAAATGTGTACTACACATATTGTGTTAATAAGTTTCTAATTGGAAAAACGCAGTTGTAGTATGCGTGTTGTGACAAATGCTGGCGTGCCGGACGATAATGCAACAGTTTCGTTGACAAACACTGATGAAGCACCTCACTTTGATCACAGAGAACATTTGGGCGTTGGCTGTTTCCTAAAATATTAGTATAAAAGTGTTACTCTCAGAAAAAAAATTCATAACCATGATATTAGTCAATGAGAAGAAAATGAACCAATTCAATATTGGCGGTGTTTCATTTACATAAAATTTCAGTTACTAAATATCTGTAAATAAACTCAGCTTCGCAGCACAATACATTTTATTGCAAATAGTAAACATGCGCAAAAAACGCTAAAAAATATATGATTCAACAATATGCATATAAAAACATGTATAAATGTATAAAGGCATATTAATATAAAATTGATTACAAAATATTTAGTAAATGCTTATATTCTTGGGAGCAAATCTGAAAAGTTAAATTATTATTATTAATGATACATTCAAGAAAGTAGACACGGGCACTCTTAATCCATTACATTACTATTTCGGCAATATCAAACACTATAAGGAAGGATATGAGTAAGAAGTAAGGAGCACTACAGGAAAATTAAAAGTAATAGCATTTCTAAATACTATATTTATTCAGTAATATAAACTCTCAAAATTAGTCAAATGTAACTATAGAAACAAATTATGTAAATCTTACAATAGCGCTAAATCGTGCAACATACATACTTAAGTATATATAGTATTAATAGAAAAGATAACATAAGGGTAATATATTACATTAAATTCCATATAAACTATATTGTGACGTAGTAATCTTAGTATATAAGACATGTGTAATGTTGTAGTCGGGGATTAATAAAGCTATCGCAGTACAAGCAACATCTCTTATTGATTAGCGCGAGTCCCGTCCTTACATGGCGACCCTGCCATTTAAGGTGCGGTTTCGGTTTCGGTATTGGTAGCGTGGTGTAATACAATGACGCTTGGTAGAAATAATTCAACGGTGTTCGTAAACGACGTGTGAGGTAAAATATAACATTTTGGAAAATGGGAGGAAAACCAAGCAAAGAAGAGATAGTGATTGCCCAAAATGCTGCAGGTGGAGTGAATACGGCCGATGTCGCACAGATACACCAGAACCAAGGAGTAACAAATATAATTTTAGGAGTCATTCTTATAATATTAGTATTTGGAGTGAAATTTGCAATTTATAAACTGTATAAGCGATGTCACACGAATTGGATGCGTGAGGAGATAGCTCGGAGCGCTTTCAGAAGGTCTGGGTCCTGGCGAGAACCACGAAACAAGGATCCTATTGCTGCTTAAAGAAAAATGTTCAGAATCTTACCTTCATACTTAGTGATATGTGTTTACGTAAGTGAAAGTGAAATATAAAAGCTTTGAAGTGCGGTTTAAGAATATACAGAAATAGTGAATTAATAGGAAATATAAAAACAGTTACAGAGTGCTACAAAAATAAACTTTAAATTGAATTCAGGTCGGCATAATATGTTGTTTTTTTTATAGGTACTACTATATAATGTTAAGGTATAAAGGTATTATTTAATTATTTTTTAATGTCTGATATACAAGATATACACGAGAAATTGAAGTATATTAAAGTAAATCTAGGAAAACTAAGTATTGTTAAAAGAACAAAATCTTTGTTAGAGCAAAAATACAGGGAAGCTAGAAATTTATATGATAGATATACTGCGAGCCGTGAACAGTTAAACTTAAGTGTAAATAAGGGTAATTTTAAGCAACAGGAAGTAGAAAATATTTTAGTTATATGCGAAGAAATAGAGATATATTATCAGTATATAGTCAAATTTTGTTTGGATACGAAAAATTTAGAAACCGGCGCCATGACTACTGAGTTTGACATGAAAACTGCAACTTCTCTTCTTCCTGTAATGACAGGAGATGAGGAAGTCACGAAAAAATTAATCGATTGTATAGAATTTTATAGCGACACTTTGAAAAAAGAACATCAGCAACTATTAATCTCTTTTGTACTTAAGACTCGGTTATCGGAAAGTGCAAAGTTGCGTTTAGCTACTAATTATACATCTTCTACAGAACTAATTGTTGACATGAAAACTCATCTTTTAGCCAAGCAATCAGCCACGGCATTGCAGTTAGAGATGGTGAGAGCCAGGCAAGGTTCTCAAAGTATCGAGGAATTTGGTAAGAGACTAGAGGATTTATTTGTTAAATTGACTATCTCTCAAGCTGATGAGGATGCTAGGTGTTTTAACATTCTAAAGCCTATAAATGAAAAATTGGCAATTCAAAGGTTTACCGAAGGCTTGAGAAATAGTCGATTAAGCACCATTTTAGCGGCCCGAAATTACTGTGTGCTAAAGGATGCCATTAGAGCGGCTAAGGATGAAGAAACTTCACATCAAGGCCCCAGTACATCTGTGGAGACAATTTTCAGCAGTCAGCACCGCAGAAGAGGACGAGGTGGATATAATGTACGTATGAAAAATCCTAGGTACAGGAACGATGTAGGGAATCAGCCGAACTCTCGAATATTTCTCCGGGGAAATAATAATAGAGGCTGTAGGCAAAGTTTTGGTGGACGCGGACGGAATTTCGGATCTGCTAACCGAGGTAACTATACTCGGGATAATCGACGAAACGCGTATATGTTAAGCCAACAGGAGAATTCTACAGTAAATACTTCGGATAATTGTCAAAATATAAAGCCATCCGTAGAGTTTTTTCGAGAATAATTTAATATTATCATGTGACTATAATAATTTCATAGAATTGACAATACTCGGTACCAAATATAGAATGCTAGTTGACACGGGAGCCTCGATGTCGGTGATTAAATATGACACCGTAAGAGAGTGGAACATTCCGATGCATCCCGAATGCATAACCATTAATGGTATTGGCGGCAAATCGCACGCCGAAGGCTTTGTTTACATACCATTTTCCTTAGGTGGAAAGGAATTCAAACATAAGTTTTATGTTCTTAGAAATCTACCTTGTATCCAAGACGGTTTAATAGGGCGAGAATTTTTAACTAAATATTGTTGTATTTTGAATTATGAAAACAATACTATAACATTAAATAATTTAGACAGTTCTATTACGATATCCTTAGGATTAGGAAAATTAGGTAAAAACACTTTCATTACGGTACCCCCAAGGTGTGAAAAGATTTTTGAAATTAATTCGTATTTGAAAGACGATTGTGTTGTTTTTCCGAAAGAGTTGTGCGAGGGTGTGTATATTGCTGGAAGTATCTGTCAACCGAAAGAGGGAAAGATTTTAATACAAATTTTAAACACACGAGAAACAGAAGTTAAGCTTAGTTATTTTAGACCGGATGTGGATAGTTTATCTTGCTATAAAATTTGTTCTTTTGAAAAACAACATTCAGATGGCAAAAGAGTTCGGGAATTATTATCATTGATAAAATTGGATCATTTAAACAAAGAGGAAAGCATTAGTATACAAAATATTTGTGCAAAATTTTCTGATACATTTTTCTTACCGGGGGATAAGTTAGGTACATGCAATCTTTATGAACAAAATATTCAGTTGAAACTGAATTCAGAGCCAGTATACGTTAAACAATATCGTTTACCATTTTCGCAGCGAAACGAAATTGAGAACCAAGTTCAAAAAATGCTTGATAATGACATCATTGAGCCTGCGAATAGTGAATGGTCTAGCCCAGTGTTGTTAGTACCCAAGAAATCAGACGACAATACTAAACGGTGGCGTTTAGTTATTGATTTTAGAAAATTAAATGATCGCGTCATGGACGATAGGTTCCCCCTTCCAAATATTACCGATATTTTAGATTCGCTTTCAGGTGCAACTTATTTTTCTCAACTCGATTTAACTAATGCATATTTCCAATCAAAATTAAATTCAGATAGTCGAAAGTATACGGCATTCACTACACCTTCCGGACAGTATCAAATGACTCGAATGCCGATGGGTTTAAAAACTAGTCCAAGTTCTTTTTCACGTTTAATGACCGTAGCAATGTCAGGACTCAATTATGACAAATGTTTCGTATATTTGGATAATTTGATTTGTTTTGGTCGAAATTTAGATATTCACAATAAAAACTTATTAGATATTTTAACAAGGTTAAGGAAGGTAAATTTAAAATTAAATCCTGAGAAGTGCGATTTTCTTAGGAAAGAAATATTATATTTAGGACATGTAGTATCTGCGGACGGCATTAAACCTGATCCAGAAAAAATTGAAGTTTTAAACAATTATCCAGTTCCTAAAAATGCAGATGAACTAAAACGGTTTGTAGCTTTTTCCAATTATTACAGAAAGTTTATTCCAAATTTTGCCAAAATATGTATACCCTTAAATAACTTGTGTCGTAAGAACGTAACTTTTAATTGGGATAAAGAGTGTCAAAAATCATTTAATATTTTAAAACAATCCCTTGTGAACCCCCCCATACTGCAATATCCTTTATTTGATGATGATAATACATTTATTTTACAAACAGACGCATCGGGATACGCTATAGGCTCTGTGTTATGTAATGCTGATCGTAGGCCCGTTGCTTACACCAGCCGTAGTTTAAATAAGGCCGAACGCAGATACCCGACCATCGAAAAGGAATTATTAGCAATAGTTTGGTCTGTAAAATATTTTAGACCGTATCTCTATGGGAGGAAGTTTATTATTGAAACTGATCACAGACCATTGGTATTTTTATATAATTTGACAGATCCTTCCAGTAGGTTGTTAAAGTTTCGGTTATTACTCGAAGAATACGATTTTAAGGTTGTGTATTTAAAAGGTAGTGATAATGTAGCTGCAGATGCATTGTCACGGATAGAAATTGACAGTGAAGAATTGAAGGAAACGAATGAACATGTCTTGTCTGTACTTACAAGGGCACAAAAGAGGAAACTTGACGAAATTCCTTGTAATCGTACTTCGGTGGCTAGCATTCCTCAGGACGATTGGACTGATCACCCAAGAGTTGTAGAAATGTTAAAACTACCAAATGATTACACGGAATTGGTATTTGTGAATGAGGAAGAATGGAAAAAGGTTAAAACCTGTGTGTCAGAGGAGCACGGGGATTATGCGTATTCGTCTACAAATAGTACTATATTTGTGAAACTGTTTACTCAATCACAGCGTACACGAGCTGTCTCTGTGAGAGAAATGGAATCATTTTGTAAGAATTTACATATAGATACTTTATATGTCATTAAAGACGACGCAAATTTTAAAATAATAAAAGAGCTAGCTCAGTATATAAATAAATTGCCTAAGTGGTCCGGACCCCGCTTATGCGTAATAAAAGGCGTTAAAAAGATTAAAGACGACGATACAAAGAGAGTTATTTTAAACGATTATCATATTTTACCTACAAGCGGACACGCAGGAATAAGACGAATGACTAATAATATTCGTAAAAAATATTTTTGGACAGGATTAGAGCGCGATGTAAGCAATTTTATAAAAAAATGTAGCAAATGTCAACGTTATAAATATTTGAAAACGGTAAAAGAACCCATGGTTATAACCGACTGTGGAAATTCAGCTTTTGATAAAATTTATTTAGACTTGGTCGGTCCTTTGGCGAGAGATAATAATTACAGCTACATTTTAACGCTCCAGTGCGACCTCACCAAATACGTCGAGGCGTATCCGATAACAGCTAAGGATGCGCGCACAGTTGCCATGTGCTTGGTAAATAATTTTATACTCAGATACGGTGTCCCACGCGAGATCGTAACCGACAGGGGCACTGAATTTATCAACTCGACAATGAACCATGTATGTAAAATATTAGAAATAAATCATTTAAGTTCAACAGCCTTTCACCATGAAACTTTAGGTTCGCTAGAAAATAATCATAAACATTTAGGTTTCTATCTCAGAATGCAGGTAAATAGTCAAACTCAGGAATGGAGCTCATGGTTGCCGTACTGGTGTTTCTCTTATAACACTACTGTACACTCAAGTACAAAATTTACACCTTATGAATTAGTATTTGGGAGACAGTGTAGTCTACCTAGTAATCTCACAACCACTTTAGATCCAATTTATAATTTTAATGATTATGCAAAAGAACTTAGATATCGCATACAAAAATCACAAATTGAAGCGAAAAGTAACCTGTTGAATTGTAAAATATTTAGAAAAATGAGATACGATAAAAGTGTAAACCCAATTACTTATAAAACTGGAGATTTTGTTTTAGTCAAAAATGAAAATTGTAACAAACTTGATCCATTATACGTGGGTCCATTTAAGGTTGTCAAGGATGTATCACCTAATGTTATCGTTTCAATTAATGGTGGAGAAAAATGTATTCATAAGAACAGGACGAGACTTTATAATCAATAAAAGACTTTTCGCTCCGATTGTACTTTATTCAGCGTATGTTATTGTTTTTATCTTACTCTTAGTTAGGCACGTTTGTAATACGAGTTCGCCTCGAATTTGTTATGAATTATGATATTATTGGAACATTACTCTTATATTGTAAGCAATGTATCTATACTCTATAATTTTAAAATAAATAACCTATATTTTAAATTATCTTTATATTGCTATAGTATTCATGTATTTCACTTTTCTACATAAGTAAAAAAAAAAAAAAACATGAAAAAAAAAACTGTAATTGTATTTTTTTTTTTTTTCTTTTGGAAGGGCATGTGACGTAGTAATCTTAGTATATAAGACATGTGTAATGTTGTAGTCGGGGATTAATAAAGCTATCGCAGTACAAGCAACATCTCTTATTGATTAGCGCGAGTCCCGTCCTTACAATATGTTACTCCGTTGTTTGTACTAAGCGCCCATATAGGACAACACAACATCAATAAACGTTATCAGAACAACACCACTCGAACATGTTCATTTATTCTGTAGCCACTAGCCTAAACGTGATAACAGATCGGTCTACCGGAGATATTTGTTAGCTTATTTGACAGATAATGCATCAGAAATGATAATAGTAATGACGATTACTCTTTATTGGCAACACGTTATATTATATTTTAGAAACAACGGGTGTCAGTTTTACATACATAGATACCTATATTTACGACATGCTTGATTTTTGCTACAAATAATTGATAAACTGCATGACTGCCCTCGAGATGTCAGATAAATAAATTCATCCATATTTACAGTGACATTATTGATACGTCCCTTTTCATACTTCTACTAAACTACCAACAAGTTCAGATCATAAGTTTTGTAATCTATTAAATCCATCACGCTCACTTTTATCCACCAATCAAATTTACAATTTTTGCTCATTTATACGAGTTCTATCTCTTATCTCAGTAAATAACAATAAATTAGACCAACCATATACAATCGCTGAAGAGTCGATTCAATATTAGAACGAAATAAGGTCATGAGTTAAACCGCCTTCTTATCTTATAACCTGTTTACACTTTGTTAAAAGCAATTACTGTGTAATAGTACCTATAAGGCTTGTTATTATATATAACTACTCAATACTAACGTTATCAAATTATCCGCTAAGGCAACAACTACCAGCAAAACTAATTTATAATTTTTTTTAAGCAGTATTTTTCAAAAGAAAACAAGACTGTTTAAAATTTAAATGCATTTTATTATGTTTTTTATAATTATAACATTATACAGATAGGTATTCGTTTTATATTTTTCAAGGGCATGAATGTCATTTATTTTATTAATTTATTCGGCTTATGTTCCGTATTCTAATAATATTACTATTACCAAATCGATTGTTTACCGACTTATTAAAAAAAATGAAATTATTTATTTATTTTTTTCCTAAGAGAAAAATTATTCTTTCAATAACAGTAATATTTTAATCTCTGCTGAAACTGACACATGCTATATAATATATACATATGTATACCCAAACATCGAACTTCTAGTAACGAATCCAGAGTTATTGTAGTTTTATTAAACGAGTTCAAGAAGGGAAGAGGTTTTTATTTCGGCTGTATTTTTGTTACTTCAGTAGTTCTTCGTCAACGTCGTCATGAACCGATTTGGAAAATTCTTTTCCGTTTGAAAGGATATTCTTCCCGTTTATTCCCATTCAAATTTGAAAAAAATATGCCTCACCTAAGGTTGATAACTAAGAAATGAAAAATACCATTTTTTACAATTCATCATGATGTAAACGCATTGATGTCGCCTGAACTTTTTTCAAATTAATTATTTTTTACTACCTGTAAGCACCTAATAATATTCAATTTCACAAACAACCGGTGGAGTCACACAGTACATCACAGCTGCTATAGATATAAATATGATCATAATATAAGTACTAGCACCCTGTAAAATAAACATACATACATATATTATGTTATGTACACAATAAGTTAATCGGCTCAATTCTACATACATTACGTAAATTAGCTCTAATCATTTAGTTACAAGCTAGACAGAGAAGGAAGCGGATGCAAGTAGGTATTCTTACATGTGCTCTGGATGACTGCGGATACAGTCAATGAAATCACTTGGCTTCAGTTCGCCTCGGCAGATACGGAACACGGCGGTAAACAACGGGAATCTGCAAACAATCAGATCAACACATTTTTTATATGTATACCATTTGGTAAACACCATGTCTCAAAAAACACATCTTAATCAATCTGAATTGTAGAGGTGTCCAGTTAAAATAAATATCAAGAGTTTTAAGTCACTCAGCTCTTCAATAATTACGCTTCTAAGTCAATTGTTCCTCAACATACGGCAAAACAAAATATTTGGAGGGTCCTAATGTCTTAAAACCCTACAACGGCAAGGGTGAAAGAGCTCAGAATTGTGAAACTCAGAATTGTGAAATTTTGCAACTGTTCTTTATTGAAAAGATTCACAAGACAAAGATTACAAGCAAATCTGTGTTTAAAAAACTTACTCTTGAATATATATTTTTTTGCTAACCTTACCTATATTTAAAAGAGTATTTGTGGTTAAGAGCTAGATATGTGGTTAAGATAACAGTATGACAAGTCGAGAGATACATTTAATGACTGTATGTACATTGCGTAGCAACAATATGTAGATTATCTACATACGTAATTGATCTCTACTGAAGAATTTAAATTACCAGTAGCGAAGAGTAAACGTTATGTTACGTACATTATCACAGTGATAAATACACAGCGTAGGTAGCATTACTGGTAATCTCTAGTCTGCATACAATTAGAACGATTTTTTTTAACTAAAGCCAAAATAACAATTTCTGAGATTGTTGGCTCCTAATCAAACTCTATGTTCAACTATCGCGGCATTATCAGTTTCACTTTGATATCGAGTGTTGCAATAGCACTTGAAAAGTAAGTATTTAGTAATAATAATAATTGCATGAGTAAAACAGGTTAATTGTAAGAATATTAATAGCTATATTCGAAGTTAGTGTTGGTATCCACTCTCGCGATTTACAGGAGTCTGAAGTTAAAAACGTGTCTTTAACCCTAGATATATAACGTGAGTCAAAAGGACTTTTACGCGAAGCATTTCCATATGTCTCTTTCTGAAATGTTGATGTACCTAACGCGTTGCTTTTTCGAAGTAACTGAGTGTCGCCGCCAGGGAACCGAATGGTGCACGCGTGAGTCAAAATGACCGCAGTTTATGTTATTTTGAACTCACAGACCCGAATGTTTTATCAGTTGTTTTGTATGTTTTGATAAGTTATTTGTTTTGTTCTAGTTTTTGTGATATATTTTTGGCATACACGTACTTCTACACGATGATCTCATCTAGCTAGAACACAGGACGGATAAGTTATTTTGGAGTTTGTAAAGGCGGAAAACGACTCGTAACCCGTCGATGCTTGTAGTGAGGAAGAGGATAACTTAAGAGTAGTTGATTTCGAGAGTGATTGCGAGGACGATGCTAAGGATGTGATTTCACACGAGATTTCGGAGACAATAACAGAGAAAAGCGTAAACACAGTGCACAAAATGTAGAAAACCAGTGCGCGGAGAACATAAAGTTCTGATGTGTGTATGTAGACTGTGTTTACTTTCTATTTTAAGACTGATAACATTTTATATATTACCTTTAGAACTTGGTATTTGAGTATAGGTTTATGAAAATAAAATTGAGTTACTTATTTTTTTGTATTATGAAACAATAAGTTATGTTGATGTTGCTCTTTCACTATTCCAAAGAATTTTTAATTTTCTTTTTAAGGAAAATTTATATGATTTCAAATTATCAACGCGTTTCATAAAAAAAAATATAAACTATTTCATAAATTATGTTTAAGTAAAAAGATAATTGCTCACTGACGACGAAATCAGGTGTGAGTCATATTGACCTCACGTTACGCTGTGAGGGGTACTAAATAACCTTATGTATCTAGGGTTAATACCTACATAATTTTAATTTGTACATATATTTAAAAACTATCTATAGCTAAGCCAGGCAGGGGCTTCGCTCGCGTGATTATTTCCTATTCCGTGTTTATATCTTTGAAAATGTCGACCGTTCATACAACCGTTTCAAAAAATTTTTCTTAGTGGGTGCTTACAATGTAAAAAGCATCAGGTGCAAAATTTAAAGTGTGTAGCCCCAGCATTTTAGGCTCTGCTTTGATGAATCAGTCAGTTAGCCAGGGCAAGTACTTAATTTTATAAGTACCTATAGATAAAAACATCATTGAAGTTACTCGGCAAAAACGTTTTACACTACAAGTACAGGATACTTAATTTATGTTATAGGCGTCATGTCTCCGGCTTTACATAAGAGAAAGGTCTACAAAGTAATATAATAAAATTATAATTACTGTTGAAACATAAGTGAGTGAAAGTAGTGTATACGAATACAGTTTGATACTGAGTGTTTCTAATGAATAAAGTGTACACATAAAACAATAACGTAACACATAAAAGTGCTCACATTCATGATAATACACACTTGCGTGTATTTATAATATGACATAAAATGCAACAGATGTACACAAGTAACCTTGATTTTGTCACTGACCTTAGCTGACAAGCCGATATGAGCCAAGACAATTTTATCTCAATCTACAATTATCACACATGGTTAAATGAAAGGGAACATTTGTTCGAGTGTACGGTCACATCTAGACCTCGAATCGTTAAATAGGTTAACGCAATATTAAAAGCGTCACGTTTAGTACCACATACCACCTCCTAGTGACCGAGTATACCATACCACTTCATACCAGTCCCAGATATGCCAGGACAACCGCGCTGGAAAACACCTGATTCAGTCGGAAAGAAATTATCCTTACCCACGTAATGACTGGCTGGACTCTTTTTTTTTTGTTGACGTGTTGGAATATCCCTTGGGATCTCCTGCTCCTCGGGGACTCAGGAGCCAGGAGTATGTGGTGATTCCACTAGAAACTACCCCGACGGCCGACCTCAGATGTCCAACTCTGGGAGGACCCAGACCATCTTATTTATCGCGACATGACGGCCCGATTGCATCTTAATGCAATCAGGCTGCCAATCTATACCCTACCGCAGCAATCAATTTGCCAGAGGTCCCTACTCTCTGGCGGCCCGCGACCCCGTCGACGGCTGGTGTCGTCGCCGACGTCAACTGGCTGGAGACATTTAAACCTAATCTAAGTCGCGGACTTCGGAAAATTTCGAAGCATAACATTGTGTCTGATACAGTCAAATTTGTTTATACCTACGTGATTACGACCTAAACATTCTTAGGAAACAAGAAAGAGCGAAGAAGAAAATTAAGATCTTACTTGTTCTCCATATTTTTATTAGCAAGCATGTGGTTGACCTCCTCAGCCGTAATAGGTCCTTGAAGTTTTTGTCCGTTTAACATCTCATCTTCCAGTTCCTTGATTGATCTGCCAGTCTTAACGAAGGCCTCTGCCACTCGTCTGTTCCTCCCACCTGGAAAGCATTCAAACGTTATACTTTGTAATACATTTTAATTTTACTCTATTTAAATCAGCCTTTGTAAGTAGTAGTAATACCATACAGGCATTAACAGCATCACGATGCGAACTTCCAACGTCAAAATTCTTAAATAGCTAAAAAGACAGGACCCACACTCGATGGAAGACACCATCACGTTAGGTTTAGAGGAGTTTGGCAAGCTATTAAAAATGATTCTTGTGCCTTTTGATATCCTGTTCCTTAAAAGGCAACCTCCCTACTTAACTAGAAGATATAGCACCGGAAACCTCACACATTATTTGAAGCAAGCTTCAGTAGAGAACTATATGAATTCTTAATCACACGAAGCAAAACTTAAAAAGTTAGTTAAACGCATATTGTGTATTCTATGTTTTTTATCGACGTATATGGACGTTCATGGCTGACCGCTTTCTGTACATAAATAGCTAAATATAGAAAGCTGCACCGTAAATGATATGTCCTGAATCACAATTAATACGCAAGACCGATGCTCTCCGACAACTCTTCGATCGTCTCTTTTCTCCGAGTTTATAGTTTATTAGCAGAGCGAGCAGCGAGGTAAAAGAATTAAGAGAGCTGGGTTTGCCACAAGTCATGGAGATTATTTATTTCTAACAGAAAGCGATTTTTTTGTAAAAAAGAAAACAAGGCTGACCCACGGGCCGTGCACTCTTATTGTTTCTCTCTGGTTTTCATTATAAGGCGAAAATCCTTGCATCATTTATTTTATTTGCAATTGCAATGCATTTAATAACACATAAACATGTAATATCATGATAAAAATGAATGATTAAATGTTTATCACTTAGCATTATAAATTGTCGTTAACGATTTATATGACAATACTATAAAGATTTTTAGGAGTCTATAAAGAAATGATTTCTTTGATAAATATGTACGTAATAGTTCTCTGTTCACTGTAACAGATTTAAACATTACAAGCATATAGAACAAGAAAGAAATAAAAATGAAAAGTATTTGATTCCGTTCCCTTGTTACGTTTTACTAGTAAAATACCGAGCTTTTATGTTACAAAGACAAAATAATATCAAATAATTAATAATATTAAATAAGATTATAAATTACGATTGCAATGATATATGATATTTCACGGCGTTGATCGCCAAATTTTTCTTTGCCTTGAGTAACTTGTTTATACAATAAAAAGCAAAACTGTTATTCAACGTGATTCAGAGTTTTAGTTTATCTTTAGTAAACAATTCAACTTGTTTATTTAAAACTAGTCCTCAAAACATTCGGTAACTAAAAAGGGTAAATATTGCTGCAAAATACCAACATTATGTTTATACAATTATTTGAACCTATTGCTTCCCTCTGTGCGGAAAAAATAAGTCGATTTTCTTTTCGTGTTCACCGCTCTGTCATGCATCTGGGAGTTTTTTAATTTTACAGAGGTTGTAGGCAACTCTTACCAAAAAAAAATGCAATTTTTTAAATTGCCGTAAGATACTTTCTTACCAACCGCGCATGGTTTTTCCGAAGCATCTATTTTTACATTTTCGCAAATTGTGCGGAAACTTAATATTATTCTGGAATTAAAATTAATTATTATTCTTACAAAAATCAGTATTAAAAGCTATACTTAAAGCCCCGAATGGATTTCCTACGAGTCACACAAAAAAAATACGATTTATTCGAGATAAAGGCGTGTTTTCTCGTAAAGTTACTAAATTGACTTTCGCAAGTATTTTTTTCGTTTTTTCTTACAACTTCCTTTTTTTTTCAATAAACCCGTTTTTCGCACCTGTTCAATTTGTTTTCAATAACCTGCCACAAACCAATTATTTCCAAAGTACTTGTACCCGAATTGTCCCGTTGAAAAACCATCAAGTTTATTTTTTTCGATCTAAACATTCTCAGTCTGTACTATTATTAATTGAATAACAAATTGAACTATTTTGCATTTCATTGCAAATGCTATTTACAATTAATATTTAGCCCATATATTAGCATCATGTTGATTTAGTTGGTCTTAATTTAACCAAGTTTAATTAAACGGTCAAAGAAATTCAATGTACAATAATGTACAGCTTACAAAATGGAAATGTATGCGGCAATAAAAACATTGGACTAATTAACCAATTGGCAACTCAACAATTGGCAACAAAAACTCATCCAGGGTAAAAATTAGATATACTTAGCATATCAATTTGTTTATGTACTCTGACAAAGAGGGGTTCCTGTCAATGGGCATTCTCGTCTGCTGCAATACTTTTTAAAAACTGAACGTGACCGACCCAAATAAACTACAACTCGATAATCAAGAACTCCTCTACGAACATGTCATTCAATTTTTACTGTGTAAGTGCTGTGCTGTTGAGTCAGTAATTTGTCTTGTTAGTCCTACATACGGCCGTGTTATGAGATACATATATTGATGACATCGTCATTCGCCTATTTTCTTGTATGTTCGTAATGTAAGCAACAAATACTAAATTTAAGTACTAATAAAAATTAAATATCACAAAAAAGAAAATGTTATCAAACAAAAAACTGCAACTTGACCTGCATATTTTCAAGAAAAAACATTGTGACTTTTTCTAAGTATGCAGAATTGCAGAATATACAAAAAACTTAGGGTAGTAAATTAACTAGTAGGTATTTCAATAAAGTACATTCGTAAAGGGTCTAGCAGGATAAGGTAGGGTCAGCGGCCTCAGAATGATATTTTGAAACTAACTCATTAGGCAACATCGGCGAGGTGTATAACCACTATTAACTGAAATTCAGCCTGTTATGTCTCTGCGTTCTGGAGATAATTGATCAAAAAGACGCTAGAGCGGGTATTTTGCAAAATATTTTTTTTCGAAAACTATTACAGCTGCACTAATAAAACAAAAACTGGTCGTTAGACTAAATATTAGTCTACATTATATATTTTTGCCGATGTTGCCTAATGAATTAGTTTCAAAATATCATTCTGGGGCCGCTGACCCTACGTTATCCTGCTAGACCCTTTACGTATAGTGACGGATTAAGAAAAGGAGTGTCATCATCATCAACATCATCAACAGCCTTTAATAGGTTTTGGCTTATACTATACCACGCTGGCCAGACGGGTTGGTATAGGGTTTGTGTCAAGTTTTCCTTCTCCCTGCAGTACTGTTGTCCTGCCTAGTTTTTTCCCTTAGTCGCTTCTTACGACACCCACGGGATGAATAGGGGTGGTGACACTCTGTATTGTTAATCCGTCACCACGCGGTCATATTAACGCTATCATTTACTAAGCATCTAAATTTTTGCTGTGCATACGGCAAAACGGTTTTCAAGATTCGCATGCTTCACTCACTTTACTTATTAACCAAGTAAGACTGTTAAGTGTTACATTTCAATTTTAGATCAGAAGGTCCGTTCTCGTAATAAAAATTATCTAGTCTCGATCTCACAAATGTCATAAAAGGTATTCATTCTCGTAGTAAGTATAAGTATTAAACATCCAACGTTGACCGTAATCTGATTGTATCGTATTGTGACCGAAAGTTGAATCAGTATTTTGCTAGTCTTAGTTATAGTTTATTATTGTACTACGAAAATACTTTTATGACTAATACTTTTTGTGAGATCGAGAGCAGATCGTAACTAAATTTTAAACGAATTTTTATTACGAGAATTGACCTTCAGTACGTCTACAAACGCTGACATAGCTCATACGTCAGAATGCATTTTACCCGGCGACACTGTATAGTAGTTAGTTACTGCATTGGTAACGGTAAATTTACACTGAATTTCCAGTATTTTGGTTTTTAAATATATATATCAACGTTAAAAAAGGTTTAACTTTTTACTTCAGTACAAGTTTGAAATTTACCAATACTTATATTTAGAATGTAATATAATGGTACAAAAAACTATTTCAAGGGCATTTAAAGAATCGTATTATTTGTATTTCGAAAAGGCCATTGCCTTTCACTAATTACGGTTCAAGCAGCGCAACCGTAAGTTGAAACTTCTAAAATACCTGATAATCTTGTTTAGTTGTTTACAAGGGAAGTCGATAAATATCTCGAATAGAGAAATACAGACTTTGCCCTTATTACAGTTATCAGCTAGAAAGTAATATTATCTACTATGTTCATAAACACGGTCTAAAGAGCAAAGGTTGATATTGGTTAATAACACATAATTACGCAATTAACGATCGCTGTCTATATGTATACAAAATATATTGCAAAATCAGTCCTTTTAAATAACACAGTATTCGGCCCGCGATTGTTAGCTCACTAAGGTTCGGTTAGCACATTACTGTTCTTAATAACTATATATATTTTCTGGAAATGTATGTAACCTATGCACAGTAAAAGCCGTTTGTCGCCAGTCCCTAGTTATTTCAAAAAAGCTGAAAGTCTGGGCAAAGAACACATGGCCAGAAAAAAAATCAGGCGATCACAGGCTCTTGGAATATAAATTTTTAAATAATATAATAATATGTTTATTAGGGAAACTAGCTTTCGCCTATAGTTCGGTTTGTATAGGATGGAAGACACAATTTGCAGATCTGCCAAATTTCATCGAATTCATCCAGCTCTCTTAGCGTGAACTAAAAAAGTATTTATAATTTAATAAGTGTCTACCCGTCGTGTTGGTTTTTTTTAATTATACAATGTGTTAAATGGCATTTTCTTAATTTTTATGTCATAAGTAATTTAAAAGTTTTTTTAATTATTTCGAAATCTGCAGACCAAACTTATTATTTCCTCACTTGGATGTATCAGGTACTTTTTCGTTGTAATTTATAGGCGACGCAGTCAATGAAGTTTATTAATCAATGTTGAATATTTATAAAAGAAAAAAAGTAGCAAAACAACAACAAATCCTTTAAGGTTCTTCGCGTTTTTTTCTTAAAGTGTTGGGTGCCTTGTCCCTTAGACGATTTTTTTAGTGTACAACAATGATCATTGGTGAATGTGTTTTTTTTTGTGGTAAGTACATTCCAAAAACAGCGTATGTAAACTGCATCACATTAAAATATTAATGTTCTTTTTTGATCGACATTCTCAGTTAAGTATGAAATGAACAAAATAACGTCTCTTGTTCTAAAATTTTATATCTTATGTAATATAAAAAGTATAGTTTTAGTATATGTATGCATGATAGTATAGAAAATTTACTTGGGTTAAAGGGTTGTCTTCTGTAATGTTCTATAAACGACAACCCTTTGATAATATCTAATACTTTTCAATACTCAATAATTTACCATAATGTCATAATAAAAATATAAAACTACAGAAATACAGAACCTTTATGGACCATGTATACTAGTTATATTAAAAAACAGCAAAGTCCGTTTTAAGTCTTTAACATCAGACTGTATTGTTAACATATTGGACGATCAGACTGTGATCGAGTCCAAAATAGGACAAACTACAATTAAAACTTGGGAATTTGACAAACTGCGGATATATTATTTTATGTTATGTTTTTCCGAATCATATTACATGACTCGACACGGCACACAACGTAACAACACCTGCGGCTAATCAGATAACTCAAGTTTGGCGTAATAAGTTAATGATGGCCGAATGACAGAAATAATTATAACAAAACCTCAAAAATTAAAATATCTGCTTGAAAATTGATAAATTGATATTGACAACATGAATGAAATACAAAACTAATAATTACTTAAATAGCACTTGAAAAATTCGTCGTGGGCTATTAGGTGTAAATATAATATTTAAAATTGCAGTATAATAGACTGATTTAAGAATAACGTAAAATAACTTACCATAACACGTAGTAATAAGATCTGCAACGCCACATGATTCGAAGAATGTGCTAAGTTTGCTGCCAGGATAGAACACATCTACAAATTTAATCATCTCCATGAGTCCCAAACGGATCACAGCTGCCTTAGTATTATCCCCGAAGCCGAGACCATCTACGAATCCAGCCCCAACAGCTACGATGTTCTACAAAACCATTTTAATGAGATTAAGACTATATTTTCGAGACAAAATAGTAAGTTAGGGAAATAAACATTGTAACGATAATTAAAATCTTAGTTAGTTACAAACTTCCTTATACTGTAAAATATAAAGATCTTTGGATAGAGATGAAGTCAAACAAAAAGTTTTTTTCACAAAGTTTTTTGAGTATTTTACGAACATTGACTTGCTACTATTAACACTAAATGATTACCTTCAGAGCGCCACAAATTTCCACAGCATCCTCATCATCAACAACTACAACTCTAAAATATTCCGTCTGAATAATATCTCTCATCATTGGCGCTAGAAGTACGTCTCGGCATCCGATAGTAGTCTCGCAGAATTTCTCATCAGCTACCTATATACATAAATACGTATCTAAATGCAATGTACCTACATAAAAACATGTTATGATGCTACACCAACTAAGTACGATGGTCAACTCGTATTTTGTGACGTGATCAACTGGTGCTAGTGTACTATGAATAGTGGTGCTAAAATATTAAAATACCATCGAAATGTGTGATGTATAAATATTAAGACTTAATAGGAAATACATAAAATATCTTCAACACTCATCAAATATTTTAAATGTTATGAAACGCCACATTCCCCATTAATGTGGGGTTTCATCCCTTTTTTATTTCTTCTCGGTATGTTTAGCTTCCCCTAAGCAGCGCATAAATTTTTTATATCAAAAGTTTTTTTTAATAATTACGTTATGTGGTGTAGCATACAGACATAAAGGTAAGAAATAACCTTGCTGATAATAAATAATTTCGAAAAATTTTGGTTACTATTCCATAGAGTTACTCATAGTTTTGAGAAACCCACTTAAAGAATCACGATTTTAAGTGATATTATTGCTTATAAATGTTTTAATTATCGGAAACGTACTTAAATATTCAGGTTTGTAAACGATGTAACACCTATCCTATATTTACAAATATTTATGATAAATAGGTTGGCTATCAGGCGCTCATGCTAATAGTTTAAAACCTGATAATGAAATGTTATCAGGCTTGAAGTATTACAAATATATATTTCCTTCACTTAGTACAGAAATGAAATGTATTCATAGAAAATACATACATTCATGTATAGAAGGTCAGAAAAGAGTTTTGAAAGAGCAAAACATGTAAAATAAAAGCATCTCAAAACTCTAAGAAAAGGATTAGCCTCAATGAGGCCTTGTACAATTTGCCAATTACTAGTATTTACTAGCTGCAGAGTCGGCAATTGTTAAAGTGGAGTTGATAATAACTATTGCGTTCTCTCTCCCACGTATTACTCACTTGTGCAATGGGATTAGAATTACTATTTGTATGTACACAAATAGTCGACAAAAGCTACCGGTATGAAGTATATTATATTATGTTACAACAAAATTAGATTGAAAAAAACGATCCTCCTCCACTCTAAACAGTGAAGGTGATTTGTATATAACACCACATTCCTAAACTATAGACCAACTTTGAATTGAAGGAGTGTTTTAGCTATAATTTAAAAAAATCTGTTCTGATGTAGGAAGATCATCCGGTCGTTTTCAAACTTTTAAACAAGTTTTCAGGCCCTCAACATGAAGCTATCGGAAATCACTACTGTATACTACATTCTACGATTTTTACCATTGTAATATATTTTTATTTCTTTTATAAATAACTAAGCATTCTTTGATGCATTAATGACTAAAGCAACAAAATCCTTCATTCAATTCATCAGCAGTCAAATGGCGTCGCTCCATGACATAAACAATGACTCACCACTCAATTTTTTCAAAACCTGTATACCTATCTCAAAATGATAAAGTGAGATAAATGCCAAATTTATCAAGCAACGAAAACACATGAAATTGGGAAAAAATAATTATAATTAGCTTTTACTTTAAATGAAAACAAAACACAATCGAAAAGTTTATATCTTTAAAATCCGCCAGTATATGTTTCCGAGAGCAAAAAAGATTGTATAGGTTTTTTACTATCTACTTTGCTAAAAAAAAAGTATAAAAGAACAAATAAAAGAACATGCAGTTTCTGTAAATGATGCGTGTTGCAAGTTTTTTTATGTGTTTCATTTTCCTTAACCCTGTTGGATGATCTATGAATGAGAAGTATTTACCTAAGAAGATTTTAAAAACCAACATTTTCAGATTTAATTATCTCTATCTCTAAACTATATATTCGTTAATATGTGACTAACTAAAGATTTAAAGCGTAGCCTTTTTCAATTAAGACAGAGATGAACATAATATGTAAGTAGTATAATTTATTCCAGCATATAGGTTTATAGTACTTTAATAGTAAGAATAAAAGCAACAGTTACTTAAAACATATCTATAAACCTACACGAGATAAATACTTTCTAAACAGCTGTGTCTCCAAAGTTCAAAATTAGATTGATGATTGTATGTCCGTGTTGATGTACGTTTACGTGATATCCTTAATTTTTTTCCACAAAACCTGCGCTAATGTACGTAGTTGATCTGGTCTAGCAATATTTGATATTTTGCAATTATAACGTCATGTTTTAAATTTGTTACTAATAAATGCAACAAACCATTGTTAGCATATGTGAAAAAATATATGTTTTTTTTTTTTTGTAAAACTGACTATGCAGACGAGAATTAAAATAAAATAAAATTTATTTCAGTAAACACACCTTTAGCCTTATTTTCTAAGACAGTTCTCAGTTAACTTAGTGTAAGTAGCGAAATACCTATGTTAGTCTAATGAGTTTCTAAACAAAGGCCAATTTAGAAATGTAAGTATGTGGTATCGTTCTAGTATGATAAATCATAACAATGACCAATATTCTTACCTCTGAAGCGATGTTGGCACCCATCAATACGGCACAGGGTATTTTAAGACACCTAGTAATAATATGCGATATTAGGTCAATACCGCCACCCTCGGCAATGTCGAAGCCCTACAAGTGGGATAATAAATTAGTTCCGTATGAATATTTAGCTATACATAATTGCTTAATGCTAAACACAATTTTACACATTTTAGCTTTTATATTTGTTCTAACAATTGGCGACATTTTAATGACAAATGACGTTTTCATCTTTTATATTCACTAGGTACTGTATGTAGATAATATTAAGACTTGTTCAACAAATTGTGTATCATTTTTAAATATTGAGCATGATTCGACATTTCAAAGTACATCTTCGTAACATTTTTAAGTAAATAAAGATGTTAAATAAATTTTCTAGTTAGAACCTAGAGTAAAAAAAAATATTTTACCAATTCCCCATCTATTCACATATATATGTACATACCTTGATCAATGAAAGTGCAGCTGCCGTAGGTTTAATTTTGCCTAGAAGTGTGGAACATAGAGTTCTGACGAACTGATGAGGTACTACGAAAATCAACAGGTCGGCATCTTTCGCTGCTTCAACGACATCAGGGATCGCCACCTGCCCCAAAGAAGCATAATAATATACTAAACGAATTTTGTTTTGTTCTCTGTCCAATCTAATGAGGTGATTTAATTTCTTTCATTTTACCTGCAGTAACCAAATTAGTTGGACTAATAATTCCTCGAGTTCATTAAAGAATTTAGAAAGCTTCCTATTCTGTGGTTTCGTTAAGTTTTTTTAATTTTAGAAGGTCGCTAATGTTGTATAAATATAAACTGGTACACCAAACATAATTTTATTTTAATATTTAGTTACTATGTTTTGTATAATCACCCATTTTAATTTAAATAACATAGGAAGAAAATAACACAAGTATTGGTTAATTTTCATTTTTATTCTAATATTCTGTTCTTTTTAACAAACCGTGGTCATATCCCCTGTCTAAGTCGGCTCTAAGTTTAAATCATTTTTTTTATGACTTTTTTAAATTGTAATGTGATTATGAAACTAAATAGTCAATAACTCTAAATCAGCAATTCAACAGTGTTCAAATTGCAATGAATAAACCATTTCAAATTACGATAATAAGACTTCAGAGTAATTTCCACAATAGGACTTCAGAGTAATTAATATTGCTAGAGTTTAAATAAAGATCCATCAAACATTACAATATATCTTATTTTATTTATTTAACAAACCAATATTTAAATAGCTTAGGTCACATGGTTATATCATAATCACATTGAATAAAATAAATTTATAAATGTTTTTTTTTCTTTCTTTCTATTGACAAATACTACACTAAATTCTAGAAAGCTTCTTTATTGTAATAAATGAATCATATTGTTACTATAGTCATAGGATACAAAATAATCCATAAGTGAATAAAAAGTATCATCATTTAACGTAAATCAACTTCATATTCTATGTATACACAACAACATATTCCGAGAACAAATAATAAAAATTTAATAGCAGACTTAGTTTTACTAGCTCTTTAGCAATAAGTTTAATATCAACAATTGAAACTGAATTATAATATTGTCATTTGGTCTCAAAATACATAAATTTAGTTCAGTATACCAAGTTCGTTGTAACAAGGTATCAGAAAATTCTACACAGTAACATTCCTGGGTAATAGCTAAGATTCGATATGTAAGAATAGCCAAGCAATTTGTTTAAAACTATGTAATTGACCATAATGGATGAGGAAGTTTTCTTATTATTTTTTTAATTTAAAACTGATCACGATTTACTTACCACATTTTCAGGCAGTTTATGTCCAGGCAAATATTTTATATTTTCGTGAGTTTCATTGATGATTTCTGTTAGCTTTTTACCTTCAATGATCTCTTCATAAACCCACATAGTAACTCTGTCTTCGAAATTTGGCAGTCTAGCTGCATTGCGCCCAACAATTTTAGCAATGGCAGATCCCCTATAACAAAAATTAAATATTCTTGAATAAGTCCATCTCCAACAGCATATTTTTACGCCCTAATTTTATTACAGAAACAAAGTAGAAGTTTTTTTTGCTTTAAGAAATTAATTATTTTAATTGTTATGTCACAAATTCCTTCAAAGGTCACAGACAAGAACATTTTACGGTTGTTATCAAATTACAGGTTAATTAAATAAATAATTTATATTTAATTATCCGTCACATACCAATTTCCAGACCCAATAATGCATACTCTATTTTTTAACTGTTTTTCTGCCATTTTATATTTTTAGGATGAATGTATGAAACTGAATTTAATAAAAAAGATAAAAAAATCAAATTAAAACACGACGACACAAGACTCAGTAAATCTTGCGACTAAATTCGCAATGAAAGTGCACGCGCACGGCACGGCACTGTTACGATGTGACGTTATCAACTTATCAAAATCTTCCGTTATCAGTTGCCTATAAATAAAGGTCACCTCCACCTATTCTAGAGGTCATTCTTTAAACTTAAAAAACTGTTTAAACAAAAATACACAATATATATTCCCGCATGTAATTTTATTATTTATTTAGTTTTACTTCGTTTCAGTCGCGAATTTCGTTAAAGGAAGCCATACACTGCCAAACTAGTTTGTCAACATAGTTGAATTATATTGAATTTCATTCCATGTCTTCAAAAGCTGCCATACACTGCCAAACTAGTTGGGCCAAATAGTAAAATCATTCATTCCATTCAACGTCTTCTTCTTCCTTTTACAGTATGGCAACTAAGTCAGCGTTTATCGAAAATTCTGCTAATTTTATTAGTCAGATGAAGTACTAATGTTTAGGACGATTATAATTTTGCCTTAGGTATGGGTTTGGTCTGAAAAGACTAATACAATTTTTTTTTTAGGTTCAGTTTTTATCGTAATATTAATAAACTGAAAACACTTTAAGCGTTTATATATATATAAACAAAGAGAAAAATAGGAGTATATCATAATTATCAGGAATACGTAATATTTATTTGTAGAAGAAGTGCAAAAACTTTTGAACAATATGTGTTACATCATCATCAGCCTTTAGTAGTCAACTGGCTGAACTGGCTGGTTGTCCTGCGTAGTTTGCTCCCTTAGTTGGCAGTAATGAATAGGGGTGGTGACACTCCGGGTACGACTTTCCATTGACGTCCGATGAATTGAAGGCGGGGCTGGGGTTGAGGTGGCCTTGCCGAATCGTGAGCGAATGCTACGACAGAACGCGTGAGTAAAATTTAGGGCAGTGCTAATCAATGCGCCGTTGGAGTCGCTCCGCCAAGCTTCGAAACGTTGGTAGGCAGTCTTGTAGTTGCACTAATATGGAAAGCCTCGATAAATGCTAATTTACAACAAAACCCCGAAATTGTTTTAGTATAGGACTCTATTGTATTTTTATTTTAGTGTTTGACAAGTAAAATTAAACAAAAACGTGACTAGGCTACACTGTCTTGTCACACATGAGTCTTCTAGTCAACGACAATCACCAAGTAGGCTGTACTAGTTTGGTATGCCGTCTCCTTTCAACACTCCCCCTAAACCAAAACTAGTGCCAAAGAGGTAGGCGCTCTCACTTCTTACTCTATGGCTAGTGCAGATTTCAATAGATCAAAGGTGGGTTTCGGAAGACCTTTGGTCATTATATCTGCAAGCTGGTCTCTTGTACCAATTCTTGTAACTAAGATGGTTCCTTCAGAGACAAGTTCACGAACATAAAAGTGTCTCACACGTATATGCTTCGTTCTCTTGTGGAACTCAGGGTTGTGTGCCAATCGTACAGCTGCTTCGTTATCAACATGAAGATTCGGCACACTCTTCTTATTCGTCAAGTTTTCGAATATTCTAATCAGCTAAACTAATTCTTGTGCTCCTTCACTGGCAGCCACAAGTTCAGCTTCAGTTGTAGACAGCGCTACTGAAGTCTGTCTTTTGCTTGTTCTCGACACAGGACCTCAGGGCATACGATTCCAGTAGTGGATCGTCCGGTAGTAGCATCACCACCATAATCAGCGTCGCTGAAACCTTCAAGTTCTGGTCTATTCAGTGTCTTCGGTTTGTATTTTATACCTAGAGACGTAGTTCCCTTCAAGTATCGTAATATACGTTTGACTCTGTTCCAGTCACTTCTGGTCGGCTTTTCTAAGTTGCGAGATACTACTCCAACAGCATAGGCAATATCAGGACGGGTCGCAACCATAAGGTATGCTAACGCACCAACGGCTTCACGATAAGGAAAGTTAGTCTCGTCGTTGTGTCCTTTCTCTTCGTCTGATTGTGTTGCAGACGACTTTTCTGCGGCATCAATCGGCGTTGAGACAGGATTACTGTTAGCCATGTTGAAGCGTTCAAGTACCTTCTTGGTATATGCTTCCTGGTGGATCACAATCGTGCCGTCTTTGCATTGATTGATCTCCATTCCTAAATAATAAGACGCAGTCTTTAACGTAATTTTAAGTTTTGTTTTCAGGCTCTCTATAAATTCATCAGCAAGCTGTTTGTCTGAAGCAGCCACTAATCCGTCAAGTAAGTAAGATCTGTTTCCCCCCTACTTTCTTTGTGTATAGACACGGATCTGCTGTACTTTGTGTGAATCCGAGTTCAACAACTACTTGATGGAAACGATGATTCCAGCAGCGGGGCACTTGTTTCAGGTCGTATAAGCTTCGATTTAGATGACATACGCGGGTAGAGCCATCGTGAAAACCTTCCGGCTGCTGCATGTACAGCTCTTCTTCCACCGTACAAGAACGCTGTGGTGACGTCGAATTGAGTTAGGTACATATTCTCACTCGCAGCAACGCTTAGCAGTGATCGAATGGTGGAGAATCTGGCTACAGGACTGTAGGTTTCCTGGTAGTCCTCCTCCTCCAGTCCAACTCCTTTGCGTTGCCTGAAACCTTTCGCAACCAAACGCGCTTTATATTTGTCGATAGAGCCATCGGGGTTTCTCTTAATTTTATAAACCCATTTACACGGTATGGCTTTTCTATCTTGAGGTAGTTCTTGAAGGGACCACGTGTTGTTATCTTTCAAAGAATCTATCTCCTTAAGCATAGCTTTTATCCACTCGTCTTTATGCGGGCTCTTCATAGCTTCTTTGAACGTAGCGGGTTCAGCTTCTTCATCGGTAAGTGCACAACAATCTTTGTACTTCTGAGGAGGATGAATGGTGCTTCTGTCTCTTAGATTGTATCTAGGCTCTGCTGCTTCATCTTCGGAGTCAGATGAATCGCCTGGATCAACGTCGTACCACGTTACCCTAAGTGGTCTTGACTGTTCACCATCTGGGTTTTCCTCTACACAATCAGGAGCAGGACTGTCTTCATGAAGTTGCGGTGCAGATTCTTCATCTTGCAGATCAGGTTCCGTTTGCTCGCGTTGATGGCTTGGGGTTGGATCTCGATGAACTTCAGTGCGCTCTTGATTAAAAGATACTTTCAACTCGAATTCGTTGAATGGTGTTTCTTTTTCTGTTGCCTTAGGTACAACTTTGTCGAATTGTGTTCGATCAAGCGGTTTCTCGTCGAAAGTTACATCTCTTGATCTAACCAGTATGTTGTCGTCGCACCAGATACGACAGCCATCATCATTGTCGTATCCGATCAACCTTCCTTTGAGAGCTTTCATGGAGAGTTTCTTCCGTTTCTGTTTGGGGACATGGACGCAGGCTCTGCAGCCCAAGATGCGTAGGTGAGCTATCTTTGGTTTCTTTCCATGCCATAGTTCGTAGGGCGCTTTGTTCTCCGTACGGGATGGACCAGTTCGGTTGAGAACGTAGGTAGCCGCATTAACTATCTCTGCCCAAAGTTTCAGTTCGAAACCTCCGCTGTGTATAATAGTCCTTGTAGCTTCTACTAAGGTTCTATTTTCTCTCTCCGCGCATCCGTTCTGCTCTGGAGTATAGGGCATGGTCAGCCGCTGTTTGATGCCATGCGCGGCGAGGATCTCACGCACTCAGGAGAGTTTCGATCGTATGACCAGTATTTCGTGCTTCGGTGATGAACTCCTGCATCTTCTATTTCACCTCTGACTTGGCTTTCAGAAAGTAGACCTAGCGATAGCCGGTGAAGTCATCTTTGAACAGCACAAAATAGCGCAGATTTGTAAATGAGTTAGGGAACGGTCCGCATACGTCGCTGTGTACAAGTTCGCCGGGTCTTGAAGCTCTAGGTAGAGTACCAAACTTCAAACGATGTGACTTGCCGAGTATGCAGCTTTCGCAGATGCTTTCGTCTTGAGGAAGCTTTACTCCTAACTCTCGTTTTACAAATGTTCGTACATGACGCTTATTCTGATGTACGAGACGTTCGTGATACAGTTGGGTTTTCGTAAGCATATTGACTTGCTTCGGAACGACGCTCTCAACATCAAGTTTGAATAGGCCCCCGCTCAGGCCGCGTAACACCCCTTAGTTACACTTTGCCATGCGTTGACAGTGTGCATCTGGTGGGTGTTGATCTAGATGTAGGGCTGCAGTCATGCGCTGCTAGGACCGAGAAAAGGTTTTTCTTGATCTCTGGCACGTACCATACGTCCTTCAGCGTTAACTCGTAGACTTTTCCTCGTACCTTCGATTTGATATTGATATCTCCCTTGCCTTTGGCTTGCAATGCCAAATGCTCGTCGAATGGTTGGAAGGTCTGGAATAGATCGCCGCGATTGGTGACGTGACACGTTGCTCCGTTATCTACGAACCAGTTCACTGTATCTGATGAAGTCGAGAATACTTCATGTTCTGATGTCAATACTTCTGCAACTTGAGATTCTTGCTTGCGGGACGATGAAGAGGAAGGCGGGTTACTGCGCTTTGGGGGTTTGCCCTCTGCTAACCACTTCCTGCAGTCTAACACGCGATGGCCTGTCTTCAAACAGTAATTACATTTAATTCGGCTATCCTTGCTCTTCTTCTTGGCCGCATTCTGTCTGTTTGTCGTTGGTAAGGCCTCTTGCTCTGGCGGCACGATAGACACCATCAAGTTCCTTTCGAAAACGCACAGGCGATTGGTTAGATTGTCGATAGTTTTTTCGGACGTCGGACACATCAACCATCCACTTTTAAACTGACTGTATTCTTCCCCAAGTGTGTCAAGAGTCTTGCAAATTAGAAGAAGATCTGGAAGCTTCTTATCTTCGCCGAGCTCTTTATTCAATGAGGTCCAAATATTTTTCAATTTTGACATATGAGTTGCTGCGTCGTCAGCTGGATCCTCTTTTTTAATCCAAAGAAGCTCATACACAGCTGGAAGGTCCTGTCTTCATTGGTTCCGTCGAACATTTGATGAAGTTCTAACCACATTTCTCTAGCAGACGTGAATCTCATTACTTTGCGTAACATTTCGTCGGTCATGTTGTTTGTGATGAAGAAAAGAGCACTTGAGTCAACCTTCGCAAACTCCGAGGTTGCAGTTCCAATGCTGGCTTCACTTTCTCCATTTGTAGAAGACGACGTAAGCTTGCCTTCTATTACATCAAGAGTGTGAGGTATGCTCTTGAGTACGATCAGCATTTTGTACTTCCATGTGTCCCAATTTGCTTTGCCTTCGAGAGGTACAATCTTGTACTTGAAAGTCGAAGTCCCCATGTTGGTAGTACAACTAATGTACACCCATAACCTCTTGTAGTTGCACTAATATGGAAAGCCTCGATAAAATGCTAATTTACAACAAAACCCCGAAATTGTTTTAGTATAGGACTCGATTGTATTTTTATTTTAGTTTTTGACAAGTAAAATTAAACAAAAACGTTACTAGGCTACACTGTCTTGTTACACATATGTCTTCTAGTCAACGACAATCACCAAGTAGGCTGTACTAGTTTGGTTTGCCGTCTCCTTTCAACAGGCAGGAACTGTCTGTCGATGACTGTCACCTATTAGATACTCACTGGGCACGATTGCTTTGGTGAACATCCTAATCGAATCAGACGGGAGGTCACGGCACAATCCCACCAACGCGGGTCCAACCGGGACTCCGCCCAGCACGGGATGGGATAACGTGCATGGGAGTCCGAGCGTCGAGTCCTGGCCGGACAGATCGGACGAAACTTGTTTCCACCAGCATTGATCGCGGCGATGCTAGCGAGTTTGCGTACACAAACAATTCTCACAGTTTATCTTTCAAGAGCATTTCCTAAGTCCTCTACAATCTTACTATTACTACTAAATCACAAAAAAAAAACAATAGCAACTAAAAGTTAATTTCGTCACTAAACGGGGGGTCGAAACCACCCGTTTTAGTGGAAAATGCACTAGTTTGGCGACACTGAATGTGGGCAAGCGTGCCGAGCGGCCTGTACGTACATCAGGCTGGCCTACTAAGAGTGACAGTTTTTTGTTAGCTAGACTATGTCCGACTTTTTTTACACGTCCATGACCTTTTCCTGCGAGGAAGTATGTAAACATACTAAAAAGGAGTCGCGTCGCATAGGTAACGTGAGACAACTACAAGTAGAAGACGCAAGTTACGTAAAGCGCTAGCTTGCAGGTATTCAATAGGTTTACCCCTTATCCCAGAAGAAAGTACTGCTCTCGTGCCTTTTCACTAACTTTTCTTTCAAGGGTACATTGGTATTAGGATTAGGACCCGAGTACATATCACCACATTGTGGTAACCAGACTGCTGATAAACATACTTATCAGTCATACTAGTATTGCAGTAAAAAAGTAAGATCCTGTTAGGCTTTTTGTTTAGTTTTGGTCAGACTATAAGCAATGTGAAAGAATGTAGATTTATTCATTTCATTACATTTTTATTGAACACAATAAATGACAAACTTTTAACTTTTTAAAAGTCTTGTTGTTGGTTTTTCTATTCCCATCCTTGGTGTTCCATTTACACCAGCAGTGTCATTTGCCTTTTATTTATTTATTCATACATCATGTGTGGTGACGGATTAAGAATACGGAATGTCACCACCCCTATTTATCCTGTGGGTGTCGTAAGAGCCGACTAAGGGAGCAAATTACGCGGGACAACAGCACTGCAAAGAGAAGGAAAACTTGAAACAAACCCTGTACCAACCCGTCTGGCCAGCGTGGTATAGTAGGCCAAAACCTCCTTTCTAAGGAGAGGCCTATGTCCAGCAGTGGACTGTTATAGGCTGGTGATGATGGTGATGATACATCATGCACTTTTGGTGTATCGTTGGAAAGCAAAATTCTACCTTTAATTCATTCAAGAATTCATCACGATGCGCCTAGCATTGAAGCAATGTTTTTTTATTAAATCTAATTATTAAAATGTCCATATTCAACAATATTTTATATTTAACTTAACTTTTATAAAATCATTAAAATCTTACAAAATCGTAATCTTTGCTTTAACTTTTTTTTAAATATACCCATATGTTTAAAAAAGTGTAGAAATAGGATCAGTTCACAATTTTTTGTTCTGTTTATGATGCAACCTTTTCAGGACATTTACTGTGTACCAAAAACGCTAAAGTTCTTTCTGTAGTTAGTTTCTCTAAGTTCTGTACTATAATAAAATAGTTATCTGTGGTATTTTTGTAGAACATTCTCGAACTGCCTTCCATCGACTCGCATTGCTAGCGCTTCATGTTCGATCAAACGTCATTTGAAAGAATCTCGTGTGCTAAAGTGGACGCCCGTACGCGTGTTTCGCTGTGATCACTTAATTTAACTGTGCTCGTGTTTTAGTGAATCAGTGTTCCTAGCCTTTTTGGGGAGCGTAATCAACCTCTGCAAGTGGAAAGAAATAATAGGTAATATTTCATTAGTATTCTTAATTCATCGATCTATACAATGTGAAAATGCGAAAAATGGATGGTGATTACGTAGATTTCTAGAAGCCATCAAACCTTTTTTATTCTTTACACTCATTTTCGTTTTTTTTAAACCTGTCATTCATAATCGAGTTACTTTATTATTACCGAGTTTCGCAATTCTTTTTCACACAAATCGCTTGACGTACAACGTGGTTTGCATTCATTGATTTACTCTAAAATTACGATAGCCATCAGTGCTCCTACAAATCGATATCTTTTTATACTCAATGTCTACATTGCATGACTACAGTTAATTGCCATAACTAAATTGAAGCCTGCTCCAGATACGAAATACTTACTAGAATTTTCTACAACATTCTTTATTAACATTAGTCTTCTTTTGTACTAGGTTAAAAAAATGGTGAAAGAAACAACATATTATGATATCTTAGGCGTAAAAACCAACTGCACAACAGAAGAACTTAAAAAAGCCTACAGGAAACTAGCCTTGAAGTATCATCCTGATAAAAATCCAAATGAAGGCGAGAAGTTTAAACAGATTTCACAAGCCTATGAAGTTCTTTCAAATCCAGACAAGAGAAGAATCTATGACCAAGGTTAGTGCATATTATGAGGTTATCTCTTTCCTAGTTATTTTCTGTGAGTATTACTAAATTTAGCTGATGAAAAGTGATATTTCTGACTGAAAAGTTTGTGATTGTAGCAATTACAATGACTATACAGATGCTTTGTGCATTGTTATAAGAATTATACTGAGAGACAATAGACACTTCAAATATCATTCCTTAAGTTCTATACCAATCTTAGGTTATATCAAGGTCTTAGTGATCTTGAATTAGTTTAAAAAAAAATTACAAGGCAGATTTATATGTATCATCATCATCATCAGCCTATCACAGTCCACTGCTGGACATAGGCCTCATCCATTGCACGCCACTTAGATCGATTTTGTATATATATTACATCTAAATATTACCTTGTCTTTGTACTTCATTTAAAATAGGTGGTGAGCAAGCTTTGAAGGAAGGAGGTGGTGGCAGTGGATTCTCCTCACCAATGGATCTCTTTGACATGTTCTTTGGGGGAGGGTTTAGTGGAGGCCGTCGACGTGATCGTGAAAGGAAATTCAAAGATGTTATTCATCAATTGTCTGTAACCCTTGAAGAACTTTACTGTGGTGCTGTTAGAAAACTAGCACTGCAGAAGAATGTAATCTGTGAAAAGTGTGAAGGACGTGGTGGAAAGAAGGTAAGGCAAAGGAAATTAAATAATTCTCTTTTTAACTAGTAATACTAATGGTTTGGAATATTTTCTTATATTTAGGCATATTTTCTTATATCTAGGAATAACTTTTACCCCAGGCTCTTCCTGTATATATGTTGCTTATTACGGTAAAAAGTACCCTGTTCTTATTCCACAATCAAAGTATCTCCATGACAGATTTCATTAACATCAGTTCAACGGTTTAGACATACAAGCGTAACACAGTTACTTTCGTATTTATAACATTAGGGATTATCTGTACATATATGTATGTTCTTTGTCTGTGATGATTGGATGATGAGGATTGGTGTTGTGGGGTTTGATCCCTACATAGGACAATAATTTGTGTGATCTACAAATTTTTGTTCTGAGTCTTGGTGGTCTTTCTTATTATAAATTGCTCAAACCATCAAATATGAATCATAATTTGTTTGCAATATGTGAGTTCTCCTCATCTGATTCAGTTTGAGTTTGAACAACAAAATTTACATTTCACAATAATACAAAGTGCATTTATCAAAGTGTGTATATTATTATGTCCCTGTTTTGTTTTTGGGCTGTTTAAGCACTAATTTACAGTAATTATGAAGAAAGTAGGGCCCTGTTGTTTTAATATCTCAATGATCTAGACATACAGACATGGTTAATGTAAATGATATGGTTATTAAAAAAATCAAGGAGACAACAGTCTATTTTGGGTCCATAACAGGTGTTTGACTCATATATCTTGTGTTTTGGGTAATTTCAATTACGTTTTGTTTATTAGCAGCATACAATTATTGGAAATAAAAAATAATAATTTGTTCTTTGTGACATATTAAACCCCATACGAAAATAAGGAGAACTCTATTCTAAATATAGGCAATTCTTTGATTAAACAAATGATAAGAAATTGACTGCATGGATGGCATAGCCCTGAGTGTTGTGGATTTGATCCCTACATGGAATCCCAATAACACTGTGATATCCACAAATAATTGTTCTGAGTCTGGGTGTTCTGTGTGAATGTTTGTAAAGTCCCCTGTGGCACGGGATATATTCCTAGTATAGGACTTGTCTTTTCAAACAAAAGACGAAGTCCTTTACTAGGCGCGCTTTAATTAAATGGAGGCATTTGGAAAATACCGAACCCAAGACACAGCATTTAGAGCCTTTACACAAGGCGTATTTTTTACGTACCGACGACGCACGTTTTACAAACGCGCGCTTGCAGCGCTGTAGATAACCAAAAGCACACTGTCGCATTTGTATCAATTCAAACGCGCGTACGAAGCTATACAAACACGCGTATGAAGCGCGATCAAAGCTCGTCTGTATCGCGTTTCGTAACTCTGGTTTTAGAGCCAAAGAAAGTTCTGAGAAAATCACGAATATGAAATAGCAGCATTTTATTATATACAACGTGTCCCAAAATTCAACGATAAGCCGGTACCGGTGTATGGTCGGGTCAATAACCACCCATGGAAAAATAATAAAAAAAAACCAGCTCTTTTTTTTTCAAAGTTACATTAACTTTTTTGAAAAATGTTGTAATTTGATACCCTACACCCTATGATTAGATACTGTGGTTACAAATGTGAACATATCCCCACATTTTTTTTTGTATTAGCTACCTAAGTAACATAACTATTAATTGCAGTTCCAAATAGGACCTATACATTTGTAGTTTTTAATATAAAAATAAAATAAACAATCTTTTTTCTTGAAATTTTTGAATATTTAAACTTTTAATCAACTTTGACATGCTACTGTGTAAAAAAAATTTATGAAATGTACTATGGCATGTTATTACAAAAGTTAGCGCAACTCATCACAATTCTAAAATGGTGCAATACTATGACAACACTTGTAAAAATTCTAAGAATTCTCTTATCAAGACACAAAGAGGATTATTCAGTTTAGTTTTTGAAAACATTACCTACTGTTCAAAAAAGGGTTTTAAGACTGTTTCAATGAAAGTCATAATGAGAAATTAAGATATTTATTGCGTACTTAAATTAAATGTTCAAATTGTTGACCATCTGCGTCAACACACGCGTGACAACGCCTTAAAAATGATCTTTTAATGAGTCTCGCATATCCCCGTCTGTTCATATCTTCTGCAGCCTCCAAGATTCTTTGACGCAGTTCGTCAATTGTTGCAATTGGTTTGGCATAGACTTTGTCTTTCAGGCAACCTCAGTAAAAAAAATCCAGTGGATTTAAAGCCGGAGAACGGGGCGGCAATGCAATGGGACCTAGACGACCGATCCATCGATCTGCATATTCTAGGTCCAAATAATTTCTCACTGGACGTGCGTAGTGAGCTGGGCAACCATCGTTTTGGTACCACATATCTCTTAGTACGTTTAAAGGTACATCCTCTAGGAGATTAGGCAAAGTATTTTGCAGAAAATTTAAATAAGTTTCGCCATTCAAAATTGCTGGCAATTCAAATGGACCGATAATCTGACCATTTAATATGCCCGTCCACAAATTGATCTTGAACTGATACTGCGACTTGTCTTCTCGCATTGAGTGCGGGTTCTCCACGCTCCAACTGTGTAAATTGTGAAGATTTAAGTAACCATCTTTTTACAGGTTGTTTCGTCTGACCATAAAATCCTATCTAAGAATTCTTGATCCTCGACATTCTTCCTAATCATCAAACGGCAAAACTCTTTTCGAGCAGGATAGTCCCGGGGTAACAAATTTTGCACACGTCTTACGTGGTACGCATGAAATCTTTCACGTTTCAGAATACGCTGGGTGGTACTTTTTGGGATTCCCGTAGATTCCTCTATGGCACGGACTGAAGTATTAGGGTCATTTTCAATCTCTTCCAGTACTTCTTCTTCGCGATTTGACCTAGGTCTGCCTGCATTTCTTCGGTTGCTTGGTAAATGACCTTCACAAAATGCTCGATGCACATAAATAAACACTCGATAATCCGGATTGAAACAGTCTTAAAACCCTTTTTTGAACAGTAGGTAATGTTTTCAAAAACTAAACTGAATAATCCTCTTTGTGTCTTGATAAGAGAATTCTTAGAATTTTTACAAGTGTTGTCATAGTATTGCACCATTTTAGAATTGTGATGAGTTGCGCTAACTTTTGTAATAACATGCCATAGTACATTTCATACATTTTTTTTACACAGTAGCATGTCAAAGTTGATTAAAAGTTTAAATATTCAAAAATTTCAAGAAAAAAGATTGTTTATTTTATTTTTATATTAAAAACTACGAATGTATAGGTCCTATTTGGAACTGCAATTAATAGTTATGTTACTTAGGTAGCTAAAAAAAAAAAAAAATTGGGGGATATGTTCACATTTGTAACCACAGTATCTAATCATAGGGTGTAGGGTATCAAATTACAACATTTTTCAAAAAAGTTAATGTAACTTTGAAAAAAAAAGAGCTGGTTTTTTTTTATTATTTTTCCATGGGTGGTTATTGACCCGACCATACACCGGTACCGGCTTATCGTTGAATTTTGGGACACGTTGTATAGCTGTTTGAAATTTTTCCACATCTCTATGTTTGCGTTTTAAAAGTGTTGTAAAAGTTGTATTAAAATGACCTTCCAACCTTTCGCTCGTAAAAGATGTCTATCCAATAGAGTCGCTTATCCTTTTTTTAATCAGTTTTTATAGCCAGCGTACGCAACGTTGTTGACCGACTCCATATTACATACTACAGTTACAGATGTCTGTATTACAATATGTATAAACGCGACTGTAACGTCGTATCAGCGCGTTTGTATTGCAAATGAGCGTTAACGGCGTCACAAAATTTTTGAATCTTCGCAAAACCTTTAAATACATGTATGTATAAACTTCGTTTAAACAACGTTAGCGCGCGTCACATGCGCGTCGCGTCGACGCGTTCAAAATACGTCGTGTGAAAAGTTCCTTATTGACAGTGAATGACGTCATGAACGTGACTAGCGCTTTTATTAAGTGTTAGTATTAAATATATTAATAATATTTGGTTTCATAACTTGTTAACTACCGTAAAATCGTCAACAATTAGGGATATGAGATGATATTGAATGATACTTTATGTTGTAAGTGATAATTCATCTTAAAAACTGTGATTACGTACACACCTTCACGCCTATGTCCTCGAAGGGGAGCCACAGGCATATGAAAATGAAGTCAATTTATAGCTTGGCGTGGGCTATACGTTGATATGTTTACACTCTGATAGTCTAAGGATAATAAAAATAACCTTTTAAATCTTTTTTATTTTCTATATTCAGTTAAATGTGTTTATAAAATATTTAAAAATCAAATATATGTATATACTGTATACAAATAATATGCACAGCCACAATTACTTTACTTACATAATTATTTTACTGATTATTAAAATATTATTATAATATATAATAATACATCACATCATCATCAACAGCCTTTAATAGTCCACTGCTGGACATAGGCCTCTCCTCACACAGGAGGTTATGGCCTACTATACCACGCTGGCCAGACGGGTTGGTATATATAATATTAATATATATAATATAATATATTAATATATATAATATAATATATATATATAATATAATAATAATATTATTAAAATAATTATTTATACTTCCATCATAATCATAAAACTTTACTTTAGTGAACCTATATTTACAATAGGTTGACCACTTATTAACCATTTGATTTTCAGGGTGCCGTTCAAACTTGTCCTACTTGTCGCGGAACAGGTATGCAGGTTCAGGTCCAACAGTTAGCCCCAGGCATGATCCAACAAATTCAGACCGTGTGTACTGAGTGTCGTGGTCAACGAGAGATCATTGACCCTAAAGACCGTTGCAAAGTTTGCCAGGTAAAAATTCTATTTTATTATGTATTTTCTTGTTTAAGTTTTTAATTTGCAGAAAAATGCTGAAAACAAATGTTATATTATAAATCATGGCTGTTGTTGTTTTAATAGATAAATTGGTATAATATGATTGCAGGGCCGCAAAACCGTGCGCGACCGCAAAATTCTCGAAGTCCATGTTGACAAAGGTATGACTGATGGGCAAAAGATTGTATTTAGTGGAGAGGGTGATCAAGAGCCTGGCTTAGAGCCTGGTGACCTTGTTATTGTTTTGGAAGAAAAGGAACATGATGTAAGTACTCTTTACTGAAGAGTGGTACTTTTTTATAGATGTTACATATCTATATTTGAAAATTGTACTTTGTATTTAAAAAAAAATCTGTGCCCTCCCACACTTCGCTGTGGTTGCATTGATGAGAAATTAGAAACAAAACTGATACGGAAAGTAGATAAATTGCTGCAAAACATTTCCGAGCTTTTGGAGCATACAAAGAAAGACAACATGTATATAAATATAGATGTTTATAAACAGTATGTGTTTATAAACATCTATATCTTTGTTTCAGAAATTTCTTTCTTGGTAAGAGGCATTACTCTTTTAAAAAGTAGTCTGTAGGAAGATCACTGACATAATATACGAGTCACATGAATTGTTTTTTTTTTTAATTTCAATAATATTTCGTAATTAATATTATATTTTAAAGATAAATTAGTTTTATAGTTTTGAAATTGTTTCTTATTTTTAGGTATTTAGACGTTCAGGCAATGATCTCATCATGCGATTGAATATTGAACTTGTGGAAGCCCTATGTGGTTTCCAGAAGGTTATTCGGACTCTTGACGAAAGAGATATTGTGATAACTGTATTACCTGGTGAAGTGATCAAGCATGGTAAAGTTAAATGCGTGTTAAATGAAGGTGCGTATTTTATATTACAATTGCTATCTTAGTACAAGCTGTGCTTAGTTTAAAATTAGCTGGCATTGTGTGTCAGATGTCCAAAAATGTTATTACTGTTATTACTTAATGTTTTGGTGAGTGAAATGACCTTTTTTTACAATTTCACTTCAGATTAAGTAAAATTGAAAATAAATAAATAGAGGAACCAAATTAAAATACAATAATTTAGGATTAGGATTAATCACACAGCATCAATAATAACTATCTTAATACATTTCATTTTTGCCACAAATGAAAAGTGGCCTAACCTATCCATTAAATTTGTGTTGATTAATATTTATGAATATATAGCACTATTTCAAACAGTCTTTAAAAGGTACCTCTGGCTGAACAATATTAATAACCTGTCCTGTCTATCAGAAGTAATGCTACTGTTGCCTAAGTTATTTTTAATTAAAAAGGTAATGAATATAGAAAGATGAGTAGAAAATTTTATTAACATAATATTACTCGAAAAACTTAAATATTCTCTCTTTAAATATTTTGTTCTCTCTTCTAGGTATGCCTATGTACAAAAATCCATTTGACAAAGGCCAACTTATCATACAATTCTTCGTTGATTTTCCTAATTGTATTCCACCTGAAGTCATTCCTGCTCTAGAGAACTGTCTGCCCCCACGGCCTAGGGTAAGTAAAAACAATTTTCATGAAGAAATGTTGTATGAAGAATTCTATAAACTCAAAATTTTCATACAAAATTCATGCTTGGCTGTTATTTTTTTAGCAAATGTGTGTATTAAACAAAGTCAAGCAGTGTTTTGTACACACATTACAATAACATTGAAATATTTTACAGGTGGAAATTCCTGAATTAGCTGAGGAGTGTCAACTGATGGACTTAGATCCTGAGCAAGAATCACGCCGGCGACGTGCACACCAACCTAACGCCCATGATGAAGATGATGACCAACCTGGCATGAATAGAGTTCAATGTGCCACAAGCTAAATGTCACCAGATATCCATCTAATGAGGGGGTGCACAGACTTCAGCAGCTGCAAACTAATTGTATAAGTAGTGTAATTGTGACTGAGTTAGTTTGTTGTTGGCTTATGACATTCAAGCTCCATAATATTTTGAGGTTGAAAAGTAATCAGTTGTCTGTGCAAAACCTGTTACATCATCGATGGACCTAATTTTATCACACACTACTTACAATATTTATAGCAAATACACTAAAACTGTACATATTATATAGTTATTTACGTTGCTATTTCTAATCAATATTAGGTTTATCCTTTTTTATATATTATTATATTCTCTGAAGCTACAAATGTTTATGTGTAGATGGACTTTTCTGTTCCTATAGCTGCAATAGAAGTAGAACGTTTAGGTTTGAATATAAGTAGTCTTTATGCTAACTTAACTTCCATCAAATTACAAGTATACAATATTAAATAAAGCAGAAAAACATTTTGATTTCAGTTAAGTTTATAATGTAAAAAATGAACCTGTGCTAACGTAATTCAGTTGTCTTAAAAACAATGTTTATGTTTGCACTTAACAGTATTAATTAATAACTGCAAATTATTTGTTGTATGACGTCCTGAGGGTTGATTTATATGTAAAATTTAGGTCCATTGAAGTGTACTTTTTTAATTAACGTAATTATATACTGTGATGTTGGTTTCTCATGCACTTTTAGACAACAATATGTTATACATATTATATTGTTCAATATATTGTTTTTTTTTTATATTTTCATTGCTTATTCAATGATGTTTTATTGAACAAAGAAAAAATTGATGTGCAGAGCTAATGCCACTAATAGACATGTTTCACACATGTAGGCACACCTCGAGAATTCAGATGTCAAATTTATTTATTTTTAATTTTGATCATTAATTACATAATATATATATTATCTATCTGCTAGTTTAAGTTTTTAAAGGGAACATTTAATACCATCTACTACATAGTGTAGGTCTGTGATTTATTTAATTTCATGATTTTGTGGTTGAATGGTTATAAGTACCTAATGGCTTGTGTTACGATTTTTCAGGTGAAATAGCTTAATGTACTTTAGATTTAATTAAACCTTTGTCTCACTAGTTTTTGTTTTATTGCTCTGATGCATAATTAACATTAATGCATCAGGCATTTTCTTTTGGCATCTGAATGCACTTTTGAACGCCAATTTGAGAAAAAACTATTTATGAAATAAAATAACCAAATCTTAAAATAACGCTCAAGAAACAGCTATAACTTTGAATATTGTACATGGACTACTTACTTACTTTCAAGGAGACTTTATTTTATGAGGTATAGCTCATAAATCTCAATTTCTTGGGTTGACTTACGAAATGCTAATCATATTCTTTATTCAGTTTTTTTTTCTATTAGAATGTCACTTATATTTAAACATTTCGTGAAAATTAGCCTATGTACGATTGCCATCATTTTAATATTAGAAGGACTATAGGTTTCCAATTTCGGCCCTGTCTTGTTCTATATGCGTATGCTTTTCTAGTTGACATAGATGACAAACAGTTCACAAAATGATGGAAAAAAAATTGAAACGGAGGATTGCGCGGCCACGGACATAATATCAGCAACCACTTAAATTAGAGATGTAATTATTTTTGTCAATTAACGACTAAATTTGTCAAAAAAGGAATTAAAATAATGTTACTGCTTGACAGACACGCTCCATTGAAACAAACTTAATTCAAAGGCGAGTACACCCCAATGAGTTATCATTGGGGTGTACTCGCCTTTGTGTCTATTAAGACACAAATGTATTTCACAAATCTCGAATTACCAGTTATATCACCAAACAAAGTTAGAATAAAAAAAAACATTACCTAGATATCAAGCAAATGTGGCATTACATAACGAAAAATCAGTATATTTCTCAAGGAACATTAATAACAATATAAATAACGAGTCCATGTGGAAGAATCTAAGAAATCAAGTGCTTCATTCACATAAATCTAGATTCTTGCCCGATCACTAACAATCCAGATACTATTAACAAAGACTTCAAATATACCAGGTGTACCAAAATTTACACTCAACCAAAACCAGTAGACCAAACTACTGTACTCAATATTTTAAAGAACATGAAGACAAGTACAATAGGTATAGACAAAATAAATATTGATATGATCACACTACCAGATTTATTGAAAACTATGAGAAATTGTTAATAATTCTATTATTAGCCATACATTTCCAAGAATGTGGAAGCACTATAGTGAGACCTATAGCAGATTAGCCTTCCGAATACTACCTACAAGGGGCCTACGCCCAGTAAGCATACTTCCCTGTTAGTCGAAAATGCTAGAAAAAGTTGTATATTAACAGATCATGAAATATCTTGAAGAAAATAGCATCCTACTAGACAAACAGTCTGGGTTCAGGAGGGGTCGTGGAACTGCAACGGCTTTGTAAGATGTAATGGGTAACATATTTGAAGCTAGGGACTGTGGAGAAGGAACAATACTTGCACTACTGGACCACTCTAGAGCTTTTGATGCCATTGATTCATCCCTACTGCTGTCCAAGTTAGCATATTATGAGTTTGACTCACAATCAATAAAGTGGTTTCACAGTTACTTAACAGGAAGGACACAACGAGTAGAAGTACATAAAGAGGATTGATCAACTGTGTGGTCATCCCTTTGGTCGGCGGGCGCAACCTCGCGCGCACTGTCGCTCGGCATTGTTTAATGTGTCGGCGCGCCACTGCCAGACCTCTCCCTCCTCTCATGGGAGCGTTGCCTTCTGAGCGCATAATGCCCGAGTTTACATTTGATAGTGTCGGTGTCGATTTTGCTGGACCTTTTTTAATCACATGGGAAGGGAAGAGGTTGCTAAAATATCAAACGCTACGTAGCTATTTTTGTTTGCACTAGGTTTAAGTGTATTCATTTAGAGGCCGTAAGTCAACTATCGAAGGAAGCTGTTGTATTATCATTACGTCGTTTTATAGCTAGGCGCGGGAAGCCTCGTGAGATACTCTGCGACAGTGGTAGGAATTTTCTCACAGCCGCCAAAGAGATGGTGATTATTTAAGGGAAAATTCTACTTCTATCTCCTCCTTCGCCTCAGATGAAGGGATTAAATTTAACCAGTCCATGCTCCCCATTTTGCACGGGTTGTCGAGTCAGGGGTTAAGTCCGCGAAGTATCACTTAAAAATAATTTTATGCAACTGTCACCTAAGTTACAAGGAATTGGCAACTTTATTCAATCAAATAGAAGCCATCCTTAACAGTCGTCCAGTAGTACAGTTGTTTATGTGCTATTTCTTCGTCCCCAAACGATTACCAACCCTTAACTCCCGGTCACTTCCTCATCGGCCATGCTTTAACTGCTCCGCCATCGCCTTCCAATGAGGGTCTTAACGAAGCCAGACTAGATCGCTATCAGAGGCTTGAAGCTATACGTCAACATTTTTGGAAGCGCTGGCAACTAGAATTCATTGCCGAGCTCCAACAGCGAACCAAGTGGTGCAAACCACATCGCCCTATTCAGCTGGGTGAACTGGTGCTTCTCAAGGAGGACAACGACCCCCTCTGTATTGGCAGTTCGGCCGAATTTCAAGACTCCTAGACCAGACGGGGTTTCACGCGTGGCTAACGTTACTACTACCACTGGCTTGACTTCCGTCTTCAAGGGCTGACAGGATGTTCGCGTCGTGTCTTAAGGGTGATGCGGTGTAAGGAGTTTAAACCGGTTACGCGCTGGTTGTACGATCGCCCCACCTTCACCGCTACGCGCCGACATTCGACAATTTTTTGTTTTCTACGTACACGTCTTACATTTTTTACTGCATATTTACATTTCAAATATTGTAATTTTCACTCTAACTGTAATACAACTGAATACTTGGAGCGTCTGTATTTCAGTTGGCCAACCCATTACACCAGTATTCAACACAACAAAACGATTGGCCACTAAAAGCAATATTACGCCACTCATAGGGGAATTGAAACCACCAGTTTTAGTTGAAAATCTAGTAGACTGGCAACACTGATTGTCATCTGCCGGAAGTGGCGATGTAGAAAAATAGGCACTGGCTGCTAACATTAGCTATTTTTGACAATATTAGGGTAGGTATATATGACACAGGGGACACTTTTAAGCGTGCTACATCCTTCATATTATTACTAATGAATTCATGGTGTATTGCAACCACGGTTTATCTCTTGATGAGCCGGTTAGTTTAGTGCTTAGCAACCCTGAATACTAAGCCAGAAGTCGTGGGTGCAATTCCCTTAAAGAGCAAGGATGAGTAATTGTATGATGAATGAGCTCGGTCATTTGTTTTGTGTCTTGGTGTAATTTCGGGCATACAATACGATAGACCTTTCGATTCTAAATCGATGCCAGTAATGAACAAACTCAGATTATCATTACAAAAAAGACTATCGTAAAACACAAAGACGAGTCACGATACATCTTACCTTACAAAATAAATGCATTTTCTAAATTATGGCTTCACATTTTTTTTAAAGGTAAACTAGACTAAGGCCAGCTTCCTATAATGATTTTTGTTTTAACAATTTAACATAGTTTTAGTGTTTTTACAAAATTAACAAGCACAGGTTCGATAAAACAAATATTAGGGGTTTGTATTATTAAAGCCTATTTTAGGTTAATAGGAAAAAGTTTAAAGTAAAGAAAGAAATAAACATTTCTAGAAAATAAACCGCTCGTTATGAGAAGATAATCATTATTTTAAACAATTTTTTTTCCACACATATTAATGTTCGTTAATACTAATTATTTAATGATTCTTTTTTACAATATTTCAGTTTTCTCAGAATTCTGCGAATACTATTACTACAAATCTTCATACTAAAACAGTTTTTCTAAAGAGAATGTCATTCGTGAGACATAGCGTCGGTAAAACAGTTGTTGTTTATAATATACGTAGCAATAGATGTCGCTCCATTATCGTAATGCGTCCTTGTTCCTCCAATGGCAACTTATTACGAGAAAAGGATGAAAGAAGTGAGTTGTGATTTTATAAGTATACCTATCATGTCGTATCGTTTGTGTGTGTCCTTTTCTTTCATTCGTTATTTGCAGTATCTCACTTTGTAAGCATCAAGTTTTAATTGTGAGATATTAATATTGAGTGTAACTCATCCGTGAAACGAGACTTATTGGACCAATTTTACCAATTGGTGATTACTGTTATGAAAGACGTGTGTACACACGAAGATGAAGCGAAAACTTATTATTCTGTGAACCTTTCAAAACGTCCGAAGTGTGTCAATATGTGTTTCAACCCGCCAGTGAATAAAATTCAATAACAGTAGTGAACGTACTATCTTCTCGTTTTATTACAAGGTTGTAATCTTTACAATGGGGCCCGAACGGGCTCCGCCATAAAATTATTAGTTGGTCGTTAGTGGATCGTAAAACAATTTAAATAAGATTGATGACTTTAGTACATAAAAAACCAACAGCCGATGATGGTCCAAGGGCTCCAGGTTAGAAGGAGGCCACCGAGGAATGATTCGAGGCTGCTCGAAAGCGATGCCAGGTGGAGTCCTTTCAGTAGATCGCGTCACGGCGCGTTCAGCTAGTGGGCAGCCTAGTTACGCGGCGTGTGATGTTCGTGCGCGATGTCAGGCAAGCCCGCGAGTGTGGGCGCGTCGCGAGCGGGCGTGCCGGGCACTCCGCGCGTGGTGGTGTACGTGGCGGACCCGCGCCAGCTAGAGCCCGGCGCCGCGGGCTCAGACCCGCCGCCCGCTGCCGCCGCACCTGCCAACCTTCCGCCACCTCCACTAGATACCCTCTACATCCCTGATCATGTAAACCACCAGGTCAATTTGCCGAGAAATACTGTATACAGAACACAGCTGGAACAAAGTGATCAAAGAAACCTGCCTAGTACCATATTTTATAAACCATTAAATGATGAAGGGAAAGTGGGTGTTTATGGGTCATCTGAAAATGTAACCCAAAGGACAGACTTTTATCCTATTTCTCAACATTATATTAAGGAAAGCTGTTTAAAAAGTGAAGATAGTAGGAGTGATCGGGCAGGAAATTCAAGTGTGAAAAGAGATTGTTCAGATCAAGTGGGTGTGGAGTTTAACAGTGTTGATACTTTTCATAGCCGAACACCAATAGATACAGTGGATCTGGCAGCATATCAGGCAAGGTGCTCTGGCCCAGTAGGTTCTGATAATACTATGAGTGTTATGCCCCCTGGTGCCGTGCGTCATGGGCAAAACCAGTATAGTGAGAATGTAACAATCCAGAGTGGTGGTGATGGAACAAATTGTAGTGAAAGAGAGCTATCTGTGTGCAAGAGTTTTGTGAACTATCATGTTTTAGAACAGAGTGTATCTCATCAGTCTATAGTGAATCAAAGCATAAGTATACTGAATCAGCAAGTTGGAGTGAGTAGAGGAATAATTAATGAAGGTGACAATGGTGCACCTCAATTAGTCCGGACTGCAGATGGTGTTGTTTTGGCTGTACTTCCATCACAGGTTCTGCCCCATCCACCTGATACTCCAGAGCTTAGCTCTAGGACAGCTATACAAAGTGATTGTCCACAGACAATAACAGTGCCCTTGGGCTGGAAGAGAATAGTAAATGGCACATCAGTTCTCTACATTAGGTAAGTACTAATATTTCTTTAAATGATTACACTTATTAAAAAAGAAGTAACTAGACTTATTAAGTCTTTTATAACATTTTGAAAAACTTAATTTAGCAAGTAAATAATGAATCTTATTATTTAACCCCATTAGAAAACTCTTATTAGTTTTACACTTAAAACATTTTTTTTATGATCCATCAGTAAAGTAGGCTGGATTACAATAATAATGGTTACACCATGTGTCTTCATAATGTTTTTGTAATAAAGAAAAAACTAATCACATTTTACACAATAGCTACATGTGCTTCTTAACTAGTTTGAAAATACTTTAAATGCATACATACCTACATAGTTAGATATACTATGCCTATGTAGTAGTTTTATTGTTAGGAGAAACCTAATAACTAAATATTCTTTTATCATCAGACTCAGGCTAATTCATTTTGAATCACAATTATTGTAGTATTAAGTATTTTTTTCTTCTTATTGCATCATTTCTAGTGAGTTAATATAGTTAGAACAACATTACATACCATTATATTGAACACACATACTATATGCATAAGATTTTGCCACCTCATCATACTAGCATTATGTCTAATTAGACATGTTGCTAATTGGTTTTGACTAACTAATATTATGAATTATATTAATAATGTGAATAAATTGAATTCTTTAACATAATGATATGCTTAATTATATTTTCTAATTTCTCTCAAAAAAAATTCTAGACAAAATATTTATAAAAGATCAAACTAGCAAACTCATTATTTACTTACTGTTGTACCTCCATCCTTTAAAACCATTGATATTGGCAAAGCATACGTTCTTAAAATAAAATCATTATCACTATCACAACCTAGAATTGTGAATGCTAAATGTCAATAAAGTAATGGTAATAAAGTACATAATTAATTTAAAAATTTAACATTTTGATCATTCATTTAAAATGTAAAAATAATTGTATCTTTCGAAATAATTTAAAATATAAGCAACTCTTATCTACTTGTCATCTATCTTACAACAAAGTTGGACTTGAATTACTGGCGTAACCTGTTTAGTAACGACCTGTTATATTCTAAGGACAATAATAATTTATAGTTAATAGCATCAAATTCCATATTGATTTTATGATTATTGTCTTATAGGATTATTGTTGCCTAGAATATTATCGTTACGCCTTGTAAAGTATATTATTGAATAAACATCAGAGACGACCAGCGGTAATGAAGTATTGGTGGAATACGGCGGCGAATAAGCACCGCGGATCGTGTGTTAACGTTAAATCAATCCGGCACAAGTGGACAAACCAGTCCGGCAGCTGTACGTACCGACGTATTTCTCGTCTTAGTGAAGAAAGTTACTTTACACCAATAAAAATGAATATAACCGAATGATCACACATACATTGCTTGCGAAAAGAGTTTATTGGCATATATATAAATAACTGCATAGGGTTTCGGTTAAGATCGTGCTCGTCGGGAACAATGAAACAGATCCAATAAAAATACTTAATATTGATATCGGCATTCGCAAGATATAACGTTTTTAAGAGAGATATTCGAGTGTTACGTCGTCGGCTACTTTTTGGCCGAAAACACATCTCTCTGCTTTTGTCGCTGTTATTTGCAAAAAAAAAGGGTGCGAAAGTCTTCATTACGAAATTCTTACCGAAGCAGCAAAATTTGGTTTGAAATTATTAAAATTTTATGATAAAGATTTGACAGTGTTTCATCATAACCATATTTGGGTATCGACGCATTTCGTAATTTTTAACCCTACCGTACTTGAAAATTTACCAGCGTAGTCGGTAATCGTAATTGAGGTATTTAACTAAGATGATCCTACGGCAGATTATAAAGTAGCAGTTTTTAACATTAATAAAAAAATACAATGTTTTTATTTCGTTCGAGGGTTTGCCAAGTTCTGTCTAAATCTATTTTATTCGTCGATAATAAGATTCAGAATAAAAGTAAAGCGTAAGAAGTTAGAAATTAGTTTGTTGTTTGATTGTCTCTGAACGTACCAGCCGAGTTTAAAAAATGCATACGATTGTTTAATTCTTGAGGAAAGTTAGGCTATTAAACATACGGCTGCCTATACTAGGAGCTGAACGATGTCCATAAACGCTTAAGAAGCTGTGGGCTTCGGTTATTGTGTTAAAAAAAACACGAAGAACAACGGTTTTTTTGAACTACGGGATTGAAAACTCATCCATACTTATATACTTATCTATACATCTATATAAATAAATAAAATAGAAGTGTCTGTTTGTAACAGACACTTCAATTTTATTTATCAAAATAATAGGTTTTTTCATGTTCATACGGTTATTTGTACGATACGATACTATGCCTAAAAACCAGTTTTTTTGCTTTCACGCATGAATCACTAAACCGATTTAAAAAATTCTTTCACCAATGGAAACTACATTATCAGCCAGTCAGTACATACATAGGTAATATAAAATCAGTCGGTGGACATTCTATGCTAAGCGTGCATTCATCTGCTAATACGTGCAGAGTCTGCACTGCAGACGTGTAGGTTCATTATGTTCTATCTACAATGTTTAGCTCGTTACGATATTTACTAAATTATGTTCATAAACATAATTATCTACGGGTATTAACTAAAGAGATATAAGCGAAAAAAAAAACTGCCCTATCAACTCTGTCTATAAAGTAAAGGTACTTCTAAAAATAAATTATTGTGTTTTATTTGAGGTTAAACGCATAATTGTGGTAGTAATATAATTGCCCGAATGATACCACCTGAGTCGAGTAACACTATCCTGCACAAGATTGTGGTAACCCGCACAGTAATATTATTTGTGTAGTGTGGGATCGTCATCATAAGGAGGGGTAAGGATTAGCAAATCACAAGTGAAGCAAACTTACTCAGTAACGATATTATCTTGTGTTATGTTTCTTTAAATGAGGAAAGTCACTAGTGAATATAACACTCGCTCGGTGACCCACGTTAGATATACTATTCCTAGAGTTCACAATTATTATGGTGACAAAACTTAAAAAAAAAAAACGATTGCCTCATTATAATAGTCTGCCGTTGGACATCGGGGAAGAAACAGACAAAGTTATATGTAAGAGGAAACTTAAAAAGTATTTTTTTGATTTATTGTAATAGGCTACTGTTGTATGTACTTATAATAGTTTTTAATTGACTTAAATATGATAAATTGTACAGAGACTTGATCCTCCAGTCAAACCATCAACCCGGTTTTTGGGGGACAAAGAATATAATGTCATGTTAATAAAATAAATAAATAATAAAAATATCATTTCGTTCCCTACGCAAGCTTTTTTAAAACAAAAGTCAATGATAACATTATTATTTAACTTATGGTGTTTTCAGCTCGAATTAGGCTTTGAAAGACTTAGGTCTTTCGCCACTTTTGTCCCTTGCTGGCTGCGACGCCTCCCTTATATTCTGACCCAGCCATTGGTCGATCTAGTGAAGGGAATTTTTACATTGCGTCTTGTTGCTGGTCTATTCTCAGAAGCATTCGTGAACCTTTCCTTTCAAACAATTGTTAGAATTATTGTCCTTGACTGTATTTTTTTGACCAGTGTCACTTAAAGTTGACAGCAGTAATATGTAGTTAAGTTGATCGTTTTTCGTAGATTTTGTGAAATATATGTTGTAATCATGTATTCTGTGACATAGTGTAATTATTTTTATAATTATGTTCTGGAAATCGTTTGGTACTAATTAAATACTATAAATTACCTGTACATAATAGTTTAATTAACTATCAGAGTTGTTAACATAACCTTCAAACCGGTGACTCAATGTTGTTCGACCTTGTAAACCTTTCTCAAATCACGAATGTTTTTGTCTATTTACACTTAAACGATACTGTTTTCCTGTTTCTTTAAATCGAATGAAATCTGTAAAGGTTTACTGGAAGCCCGTTTGTGCAATCAGGATCTACTAATGCCTTTTTACCTTTCTCTTTTTCATCACTGAGTGGATTAAGTGCCAGGTGTAAATGGCTATCAGATGTTTATGTATTATGTCTTATGTTTTTAAAATGCTAGCTGTAATTATCCCAAACAGAGAAAAAATAAAATGAAATAAAATATTAGAGACATAGGTAGCTGCGGGAATAGTGGATTGGGCATACGAAATTCTGTTGTTGTTGCTTCTTCAATGCGCATTGCACTTCCTTTATCTGTCACAATACACAGTGCATTTAATTTACCGAACAATGCTGTATAATACTTTGCCCTGGTCCTTGCAAAAGGAAACTGGGTTTTTTTAATGATTAGATCCTTGCAAAAGGAAACTGGGGTTTTTTAATGATTGGGTCTTTGCCAGTGTACTAATTAAGCGAGATCGCAAACTTTGACCGATGAAGAAAAATATGGTGGACCCTTTGAAGGCTGTCTGACAAAAGAAAACATATCAAAAATTAAAAGTTTTCGGCGAATTACGAATATAAAAATGCAGCACAAGAATACCGGAGGATATCTGTGCCTCGGCGTCCAGACCAGACATATTTCTTTATGCAATTTCAATTAAGCGTGTAGTACTAGTAGAACTCTCAGTGCCTTGGGAAACGAACATCCCTAAGATAACACTTTAAAAAGAAACAAGTACTTTGATTTAACCAACGAAATAAGTAAAAATGGTTATGTCGTTGCGTTGTATGCCGTGGTAGTGGGTATACCAGCTACATCCCTCTATAACCTGCTTAAAGACCTTGGATTGCCAAGAGTTTCAGTAAGCTCTTTTCTTGAACGAATATCCAAAGCGGCATTGCTAGGCTCGTATCAAATATGGTTAGGTATAGGGGGTAACACAGCAGACAGTGGTGGTGAGCGCAGATGCGTCGCAAGGAGTACTCCATGATGGAGAAGTCGCATGTGTTGCCCCCATCTATCACGCCATAGACCCGGCACCCGCACGGTGAATCCATGGAACGCTAAGAAATAGGTCCAAAGACAAGTTCAGAAAGCATTTGCAATTTACTAGTTATAATCTGTATAAGAAATGTT